TAGCGGTCATTGATTTTTTACATTTGGAGTTTATTTAAAAACAATATTGCTTAGTAGTCCGATGAAAAAAGCACATTAATCATTAATGCAGTGTGTACCTATGTTTTATGTGCGCGCAGACTATCAATTTTTTTTATTTATATTGTGCCTAACGGCACTGTCAAATTTTGTGAAAATGTGTGATCGCGCTCACGTCGACTCTTTCCCATGAGCCCAGGGCATTTCCCATCTTAACCCGACAGGCTTCCCTGAATGGGGCAAAATGGGAATTTTCGTGTAATTTTGCCCCGATCGTGCCTTCGGGAGAAGGTGGGAAATACCCATTAAATGATAAATATCGACACTACAAAAATCTTAATTATTATTTATTGATCTCTATTATATCGTTCCTTAAGTTAACTGAAGCAATACGTTGCATATCTATGTATAGAGTATATTTATTGCAATTAAATAATTTAAACGAACATGATTTTTATTTATTTTAGGTACAAAAAACTACTATGCAGACAAACTATGCGTAGATAATGAACTTGTAAGAAGTAGGTAAATGTAGGTAGCAAATATTATACACCTGGTTCTTTTTTATATTTTTTATTGTGGCAATAAAACTTTTTTATTTCGCTAACGTCACGCGGTTGGAAAATTGATATTAATAATGTAACCTATCTAGAACATGGGTGATTTAGTTCTATTGTTTCTTCATTGATTAAGGGTGGATTTGACCAAACAAGAGTAAATATTAATCTCAGAATATTGGGGGAGGCCTATGTTCAGCAGTGGACGGCTTGTGGCTGAAATAATGAATACTAAGAGCTAAGCTATAGGACCACAGGTACGTTCCTAGTGGTGGATTGTCCTGTGGACCAAGCTAGATCAAGTTTCTAGGCAAGTGTTTCACACTTGCGTTCAAAAATTTAAAACTAAAAAAATTTTCTTTCAGCCTACATAATTACAGTGCAGTGATGAAACTGTTTTGTAATGCGAAAAAAAATCTGGACACCGCGGTTCAGTCACACTCCATAACTCCATCTATCGGTGATCGTTAACATTAACTGCTTGGGGAAAGTGGTTTGTGCTTTGACACAAAAAAAAATTGATTTCTTTACGGATTTTGATGAAAGAAAGAAAGAAAGAAACATTTATTATGACGAAACTTTACAATATTATTGTTTATAACCTAGAATAACATACTTAGCTAATAGGCTATAATTTATGACGATTTGTGACAAACTAAATTTCACTCGGGTGAAGTCGCGGGCAAAAGCTATTTCATAATAAAGTATGAAGTAAGATAGGTAAGGATTATTTTATTTACGTAGTAGGTAACAACATCGTATCAATCGCCCGAGGAAACCCACGAAACACTAAGGCTGGGTTGCACCATCTTATTTTAACTTTGATAAACGTCAAAAATCTGTCAAACTCCAATACAAAAACGCTGGTTATCGATAACTATAAAGTTACGGTCATAGTAACGTGGTGCAACAGGCTTATTTAATTATTTTTTTCAAGTCAATGCCCTTAAATTTAAAGGCATTGACTTCATTTTATTGAGGCTATAATACTTCGTGTGGATAATTGCAGATGGGACGAAAATACCTGTTTGGCCATTTGGTTTTCAGATTTCGGCAAGGTACACTCAGGCACAATATTATAAATCCTCCCCACCTCCGTGGTTGAGGATTCCGGGTGAAGCTCGCTTCCACCTTCGGCCTGATCATCACTTACCATCAGGCGAGATACAGGCCAAGAGCTTCCTTTGTGCTTCCTTGTTGTGGATAAAAAAAAAACAAGTTTTAGGCTAAGTTGCGCCATCTTACTTTAACTTTGACAAACGTCAAAAATCTGTCAAATTCCATACAAAACGCACCGGTTATTGTTATTTTTACGGTTAAATTCCCTATATTTATCAAATTAAAAGTTAAGTTTTTTCTAAAATGACTTTCAGTTCCCTTCAAAGTGTTTAGTAACAGGGAAACTTACTTTCTGAACCGTTTCATGAAGTTGACTGTACCAGCCCTGTCCGCTCTCGTTTTGGATAATTATGTCCAATAATGCAGTTAAAAAACTGCAATTTGGCAGGTCGTCGTCCAACGTTTTTATTTATATTAACCGGCAGACAGTGGTGACTGAGTTTGTTGCGGCGCTTCTTCTCAGCACTTGCCAAATGTTGGTCTCGAAGTGCTGGTAGGGTAAAAAGATTTTGAGACATGTAGAGGCTCCTTAAGAGCAAAATGACGATTTGTAAGAACTATTTATTAGTCTAAACAAATAAAGAAATTTTGACTTTGACTTTCAACATCACACAAACTAAATCTTTCCTTTCTGATTTTCTGATAATATATTTTTTAATTGAACTTTACAAACATGGTTTTGTTTTGTTAGTGAGGTCCTTTTAGACCTAATACATTTTAAACATGATTTGAAATACTTAGGTAAATAGATCAACAATAATGTTCAGCATGAGTTTTATTAACAATGGTAATAAAACTCATGCTGAACATTATTGTTATGGGACAGAATTAGGTTTAACGTGAGATTAATGCCCGTTTTCACCATCAATCCCTAATTTTTAAGTGAGCCCTATGGTAACACATAACAGGAATTTTGTTTTCATAGGGGTCACTTAAAAATTTGGGATTGATGGTGAAAACGGGCATAAGACCACCAAACCGAAAAGATTATGCTTCCACTGGAAATAGAACCTTGGATCTCTAGGAGAGACGTAGACTTACCGCACGCACACACTGACAAAATTCAGCGCACCTCACCGCTAATCAACGCTAAATTTTGCCAGTGTGTGCGTGCGCGCCGCATACGTATTGGCGCGCTCAGATACAAACCGCGCTCGGGCGTTTCTATGAAGATGACCTACTCATTTGTATTTACTCTGGTCTAGGCGTCTAGCGCACAACTAACACGAATGAATTCAAAAACGATGTTTGCTTAAGAGAAGCAGCACTTCGAACGCTCAGCGTTGAATAGAGCTCTGTGATTGGTTCGTGGGGTTCGTTCGTCCGATGGGGCAGCAAGGTTCTGGAGTAAGGGCGCGTACCGTAAAACGCAGTGTGGGACATCCACCCACAAGGTGGACCGACGACATCATAAAGGTAGCAGGAACGCGCTGGACGCAGGCCGCTTCCAACCGAGCAGCATGGAAAGCATTGGGGGAGGCCTATGTTCAGCAGTGGACGTCCTATGGCTGAGATGATGATGATGATTAGTTCGTGTGTCACCCTGTGCGTCCACGCACACTGTGAGACCTCAAAAAAGTTTGTGAATTCGGGCGTTAATCAGTGCCTGAGGTATTATATGACGTGACAGACAGACCATACAAATTGATGCACATTTGAAGTCTCGATGACGTCAAAAACCCTTTCGTGCCGCTCCTATATAGGCTGAAGCGCTAAACCTACAGTTACAGATTTGTAAAGAAAAGTGAGTTAGTTAAACAGCTTTCAGTGTTTACCAAGTCTTCTCCAAACAATGAGCAATAACATCAAGTTTCCCATACGACAGTTTACGTGAACGCCGTTGTTGTGCTGACAGTCGGTACACACCATTAAATATTGTGATTGGTTACATTACATAAGGCTATGGCACACCACGAGCCTATAAAATTATCACTTCACGGGATTTATTGCAACAATATATCTATTTTAACGGTAAATAAAATATTTACCCTCCCGACGTTTCGGCTCGGTATTATAGTAAAAATGCAACATAATAGTTTAAAATATTATACCACGAGCCTAGTCAAGGCCTATCCTACTAAATTTCTACTGATATTATAATTCAAAGGTGACTGACTGACTGACTTACATAGAGATCTATCAACGCACAGCCCAAACCATGGACGGATCGGGCTAAAATTTGGCAAGCAGGTAGCTGTTATGACGTAGGCATTGGCTAAGAAAGGATTTTACGTAACTGGATTGGCCACACTCTCCGAAGGGACCCCGATCACATCCCTAAGCAGGCTCTGGATTGGAATCCCCAAGGTAAACGCAAACGTGGCCGACCCAGGCAAATTTGGCGGCGCACTGTAGCGGACGAGGCGAAGAAGATCGGCAAGACCTGGAGCGAGATCAAGCGAGAAGCTCAAGACCGAACGAGATGGAGGACTGTTGTGGACGCCCTCTGCCCCATCTAGGGGACATAGGACCATAAGTCAAGTAAGTCAACTAGTTTCAAAATATTCCGTGCTATAATATTGATTGATAAGTACTCAATGATAATAAAATGTAATAACTAATTATAACTCACTACTACTAGCAACTCGAGGCGGTCAATATTCTTTGTGCAACCACAGAATAATAATATACCTAGTTAGTAAGAACCTAATATGCAACGCACACATAACGTAAACGCCTCGCATCGCGATTGACAGAGCGCGAAAGGCGATGACAGCGCGCGAAAGGCGATGACAGCGTGCGAAAGACGATGACAGCGCGCGAAAGACGATGACAGAGCGCGAAAGGCGATGACAGCGCGCGAAAGACGATGACAGAGCGCGAAAGGCGATGACAGCGCGCGAAAGGCGATGACAGCGCGCGAAAGACGATGACAGCGCGCGAAAGGCGATGACAGCGCGCGAAAGGCGATGACAGCTCGCCAAAGGCGATACGGTGTTGATCCCTTTCCGAGTTGATAAGTCTGCTATGAGCTTTAGAACGACATTTTTACTGATGGTGTCTGGAGGCCTTAATAAAGAATATGACAAGCGATTCTTTTTACAAGCTTTTTTTGATATCAGAAACCCACAAGGACTAAGTCAGAAGCCGAAACTAGTCAAATATTTCGTGATACTCTAATGAAGAAATTGACGAGCTATAGATACAATAAAAAACACCATTCATCAATACAAAAACATTTCGTTGAACCATGCTAATCTAAAGTTGACATACAAAAATGCTTTAAATTATTTGATAACACTCACAACGAACGCGAATTAAAATCTAGAGCCTCCAAGATACTTGTTTGATAATAAACTAAGTAATTTCAACACGTTCTTCAGTTTAACTTCGACTCTCGCTCGAGTCGCGCGGCGGTCGGCAGCCATTTTTTTTCTACCGAATTTCGCGCTCAAAATCTTTTGGCCCTTTTACAGTCCATTTCAAATTGAAAATTATCTTTCTGTGTTCAAAATGTTCTTGTTGAGCAGAATGTTTCGAGGAATAAGGTAAATAAACAGTTATCTATGTTATCATTGTGATTCACGTGTTGATTGCATCTTCAGGAAATCTTTTACAGGTTTTCTTAGTCATTGTGATTTTTACGGTTAGAACTGTAATCAGACAAAAAATAGGATAGTTAATTCAATTTCTTGACATTCAACAACAAATACTAATTAGTAAGCATGTAGGTATTCTGCTTTTTTAGATAACTAGTTAATGTTTAAAAATTTTATTCTACCGCCACGAATTATTCTCTTATGTTTTTCGCGATAATCTAGCAAGTAGATAACTATGCTAATACGTAGGTAGTTTGCAAATAACATTATTATAATGAAGGTAAATATTACTCATCATTTCAATGAACTCGGCAAGGTTCTTTTCAACTGAAAACACACATAAGTCGGTATGTGAAGTAGCTTAAACCACGGTAATAGTATTACCGTGCTTAAACATTTGTTTTTTATTTTAAAAGTCATTAGAAAGTAACTAATGTAATTAACAGTTAGCCCCTTTCTACTGGAAGATATAACTTCCTAGCGATAAGACTGCTTATTTTTGTGCCGTTCCGATTTGGAATTCATGTTTTTTGCATGGTTTTAGTTCTAAATATTTTAAAATCTCAATATGATTTCTAAACTGAAGGGCTAACTATAATGTATTTTTGACTTGTTACTTAACATTTTAATTGCAATTTGGTAGTCGAGTTGCAGATTTTTTTCTCATTCAAACCTTCGGGCGATTGGCACTAAAGCCAGTGTCAAGTTTATAACACACTTTTCAGGTAGTCACTAACCCCTAAATATTACTAAATTTAAGCCCGTTTTCACCATCAATCCCTAATTTTAAGTGACCCCTATGGTAACACATAACAGGAATTTGGTTTTCATATGGGTCACTTGAAAATTAGGGATTGATAGTGAAAATGGGCATTGACCTACAACGAATGTTGAGAAATGCCCGGGGTTTCCCTTAGGTTTCTAAAGATGTGAATTTTACTGAGCTGATGGCTGAGACCCCACAAAGATTTCTTGCACTGCTAAAAATGCTACAGTGTTTAAAAAATCGAAATCAAACATAAGTTTGATTTGGATTTTCTCGACAACTCAACGAAAACTCTTATCGTTTTATGAATTAAGTTTAGGGAGGTATTACCCTTTTATCTACCTAAACATTAATATGCGATTAAACACAAATTTTGATAGAGTATAGCCTACTTCCTACTAATATAATTCAAAGGTGACTGACTGACTGACTGACATAGTGATCTAATATCAACGCGCAGTCCAAACCACTGGACGGATCGGGCTGAAATTTGGCTTGCAGGTAGATGTTATGACGTAGGCATCCGCTAAGAAAGGATTTTACGAAACTCCACCCCTAAGGGGGTAAAACGGGATCCACGCGTACGAATTCGCGGGGGGGCCGCTAGTTTGAATATAAGTAGTTACGTAGGTACTTACTATTAATGAATAAGTGAAATGGTATTTACCTACTTTAATCATATCTTTACATAGAAACTAGGTAATATGATAATAGTTTATGATATTAAGTCGATAAGAATAATTTATATCTAATAAAGATTCGGTGATCATTAATATCGGAATCAATTAGGTATTCGATTAAATTTTAATCATCACAAAGGCCGAATAGATAAGTACACAATACAATACGTTCATGGGGCGTTTCCCACCACACCTTCCCACCGCTGCAACTCCTGTGTAGCTAGAATCTACATTTTAACCGACTTCAACCAAAAGGAGGAGGTTCTCAATTCGGTTGGGTTTTTTAATACACGTAGATAAATCGTCGAGATTTCTGATCCGATTTACGTATTATTTTTTTGGCCGATGCGGATAAAGATTGCTATTTGGTTCCATAAAAGTTTAATTTATTTGGTAAAAACTGCTCAATTTTTATTTTATAGGCATTTTTGGGTATACTTTGTCCCTCTGACTTGGTGACGCATATTTTACCTGTTTCCGCAGTTTGGTATTTTAATAATGCCTTTAATTTTTCCTCGACAAGCAAAAATAATCCTTTTCGGCATCAGTCGGACTGCCAATTTTAGGGTCCGCTGGTATTTTTGAGCCCACTCCTACTCCAAAACAAGCATAATTTCGTTGCGGGTCCATTAACAGTTAACTTTCCCCCGGGACAAACTTGACCTTCACTGGTTGGGTTTTATTGGCGGTCAAGCTGTAGATCCTGGCTACACAGGAGTTGCAGCGGTGGGAACGAGAGGTGGGAATAGTCACGTAAGCATTATTTAGCTTAGCTGGAGGAGTTAACAGGATTTTTTAAGTGATTTATGCAATTAAAATGATGTTATTTTTTATAATTATTCCCACGTAAGGAGTTCTAAAAATTTGTAGAAAGGGCATTGCATAATAACGGATGCCTCCCTCTAAAATGAATGTAACAGAGGGTAGGTTTACAAATGATATTATTTTTTTATGTAAGTTAAGTACACCCACATCTTACTCTTTATTGTAGGAGGTAATTGTAAAAATTTATAGAAAGAGGGCATAAAATATCGGATGTCTACCTCTAAAATGAATGTAACAGAGGGTAGGTTTACAAATGATATTATTTTTTATGTAAGTTAAGTACACCCACATCTCACTCTTTATTGTAGGAGGTAATTGTAAAAATTTATAGAAAGAGGGCATAAAATATCGGATGCCTCCCTCTAAAATGAATGTAACAGAGGGTAGGTTTGAAAAAGTGTTAGAAAATTGTAAGACAAAGATATGAAAGTATTTTGTCCTTGTCATAACATCCTACCCTCAACATAAATTAGTATCGTTAGTGACAGAATGTAACCTTTTTTGTGAACTTCGCAATCGCACCTGGTGTTTAAGTAAGATGCAGTCTATGATGGTACAATACATAATATCTGCCCTGTTATGTAAGTGAGACGTGGTCGCTTACTATGGGCCTCATAAGAAGGCTCAAGGTCACCCAAAGAGCGATGGAGCATGCTATGCTCGGAGTTTCCCTGCGTNCAGTGGGCGGGGCACATAGCATGAAGAGCTGACGACCGCTGGGGCAGGAAAGTTCTTGAGTGGCGACCACGAGCTGGAAGACGTAGCGTGGGCAGGCCTCCCACTAGGTGGACCGACGATCTGGTGAAGGTCGCGGGAAGTACATGGATGCAAGCGGCGCAGGACCGGTCTTTGTGGAAATCCTTGGGGGAGGCCTTTGTCCAGCAGTGGACGTCTTTCGGCTGAAACGAACGAACGAACGAAGTAAGTGCCTATTAACTCTCGCCTTGAAAAGACCCGGATTATAGTGTTCAGGAAAGATAGCAGCAGGCAGCGAATTCCAGTTCCTAGCTATTCCATTATTGTGTGTTTGGAAAAACAAGGTGTCTAGTTTTTACATCATATCTTAGTACGTGAATCGAATCCTTTTAAGTAAAGCCGTAGCGTCCTTTCACTTCACCGTACAATGTCTACTTTCCCTTTTTGTGACACAGCGTAGGTAGGTTATGACTTAATTATGTCGTACTAGCTTTTACCTGCGGCTTCGGTCTGTCATAGAAGGTAGTTTATTTAGGCAGAAATCCTGAAATTAGCTTATTAAACAACATAAAAAACAGCAAAAAATAATGTCATCCTTTAAAAAATCGGTTAAAAATTGATGAAAATTCCATCAATTTCAATTGAGTAAAAAATTGACATTTTATGTATTATTGTACCTACAGTAGAATCCCGATTATCCGGATCAATTAAAACCAGGGGTGTTCCGTATAATCGAAAATCCGCATAATCGATTTCAAAGTAAAATCAAACAATAATCAACTTTTTACAATAGAAAGGGTTTTCAATACATCATTTAGAGTCTAAAAATCAAAATTTTAGACCATTGGATGAATACATTTCTTTTAACAATGAACTAAGACAAAGTCCAATCCGTGTTACGGTGGCCGCGGCCTCCGTTTTTATCGGTCCAGACCCTAAATCGGTAATTAGAATCTGAGGAATGAGTCCGGATAATCGGATATCCGGATAATCGAGGTCCGGATAATCGAGATTCTACTGTACTTAAAAATTATCACATTTTGTTTAAGTTTGTTTCGTAAACAAATTGTCACATTTGTTTGTTATTTAGTTGTAGACCACTTGTAAAGTTGTAACCAAGAAAATGATAAATACCTCATTGCTATTTGATAATCACTGATATCTTGAATTGTTTGCGGAATGTATACCTACCTAGGTATTTATTGTCAAATAAAATATACACGCGCTGACTTCTGTTAGTAAAGTAGTCAGTTAAGTTTTTTCCTAAAAAAATATTTCTACCCTCATTATGGGACTATCCCACCTCTCGTACCCACCGCTGCAACTCCTGTGTAGCCAGGATCTACAGCTTGACCGCCAATAACCCAACCAGTGAAGGTCAAGTTTGTCCCGGGGAAAGTTAAGAACTATCATTGGAATCGCAACGAAATGGATCAGAAGGATATAGGAGGAGTCGGAAGGTTTGACAGTTCGACTTTCCTCCATAGCAAAGCGGTCCTACCACAAAGTCCTACCCTCATTGTCGGTCTTCCTAGGATCTAGGTATAGGGCAGTCGCTAATCTCAGGAACTACTTACTGGTCCGATTTGAATTAGCTGTGTTGGATAGCCCATTTATCTAGGAAGTCTTTAGGCTATAACACCACCCTACAGCCAACAGGGGCGGAGAAGTAAAGATTTTTTTTTTTAAATGGGAAATATTATTCAAATTTCACGCGTATGTACGAAGTCTCAGGCACAGTTAAAACTAGCAGACAGACAGAACACACTCTTTATGTTTATTGTACACCAAACAAGACAAGAAAAGAAGAGAAAGAAATATACAAAAGATACGGCGAAAAGCTGATGTCTTCCACACAACCTAGAGGACAGTTGTTATCTAAATATACATTTAACTCAAATGTGACTGACTGGCTGACTGACTGACTGACTATAGTATAGTGATCTATCAACGCACAGCCCAAACCACTGGATGGATCGGGCTGAAATTTGGCATGCAGGTAGATGTTATGACGTAGGCATCCGCTAAAAGGATTTTACGAAACTCCACCCTTAAGGGGGTAAAACGGGATCCACGCGTACGAAGTCGCGGGCGGCCACTAGTCGTCAATAAATTAGTCATTGAATGGGAGACAAGAACGGTTAATTAATGTTAAAGATACTGTCTCTGTATCGCTTAGGCTAATATTTACCTCGGTGGCCTTCAGTCTCGTAAGTAGGTAATATAAAAGACAGTGTATTTAGCAGGCTCACTCCACGATATACTTGAGTGCGACTTTGATATTCATATAACAACGCCTTAAGAGTGAATGAATACCTCTTAAATAAATATATTTTTTTTATTTCAGAAATTTCTTTCTTTAGTGGGTTAGTAGTTAGTTACAGAAGTACTTGAGAGTTAAAGAAGTAATTTTTAAGGAGGATGATAAAACTGCGTGATAGTAAAATTACCAAAATGCATTCTCGAGGTTTTCGCGATCTAGTGTTGCATGTTTTAAGTTTAGTTCTAGGCGACAGAACTAATTAGTTTAAATTAAATATTTCCAAAATATAGCAAGAATTTTGCTTACGATAGCAGCTTCTCTAACCTTTATATTTTATGTCAATCGTTAAAAGAATTTCTTGCAAATAAAAGTGATGCTACTTATTACAACTTATTTGTGTACACGTTTAAATTCATTGACTACACTTGGTAGTTAGGACGTTTGAATTACCATGCTACCTACAGTAACAGAAGCATGGAAAAACTAAATATTACTAGCATTTGCCTGCGACTTCGTTCGTTCGGCCCGTGGGTTTTGATTTCAAAATACTTAGTTACCTACTTAATTAGATATATCCTCAACATAAGGAAAACTTTCGTCATTTTGGCAGGTAGGTTCTTAAACTTTCGCTAAGAACGGATTTTACGAAACACCATCCATAAGGGGGTAAAACGGGATCCACGAGTACGAAGTCGCGGGCGGCCGCTAGTGATAAATTGGTAACAGTTTTCTGAGACTTAGACGTAAGTTTTCTGCGAATAACTACAAGAACATAATAAGAATTGATGATTTTAGTTTAAGTACACAATGCTCAATTATCGTCTTGAAAATTAATTGTTTATTTCTTTCTTTTCAGATAGCACAATGAAGATGCAAAACCATTGCAGTGATAATTAATCAAGAATTAGTTTATTTATAAGTGAAAGAACATTAGTGAAGTTTATTGAAAATGGAGACGACACAATTTAGCAATAAAAGGGACTCGGTAAGTTTTTATTTGGTTTATTTTTATAATTTTGTATGCAGTACAAAGCAGGTATTTTATTTATTTATTTATTATTATTATTTGACCGTAATCGCACCTGAAATATAATAGCAAAATACCTACCACTCATTGATTAATCACGAAATCTCAGAAACTGTAACACCTATAAACTTAAAATTTAGTAGGTAGATCCTTATAAGGTTAAGAACAGATTTTACGAAAGTCTACCCCTAAGACCCAGAACAGATGGTGAAACGCCACTGCAATGAAACTGATTGAAACTGCAACTTTGTGATGATTCTGATGAATGAAACTGAAACAGAACGTTTCAAACTGGTCGCGTCATGTGTGGTCTCTCAACGGACGCTATGGCAGAAACTTAGATGCAATTCAAAAGTAACTAGCAGTTGCAGTTTCGTTGCAGTTGCGTTTCGCCGTCTGTTCTGGGCCTAAGGGGGTTGGAAGTTTCCATGCGAACGAAGTCATGGGTGGCACATTCACGAATACTTACATAAACAATATACAGTGTGAGTCACGTTAAAGTGTACATATGAAAATAGATGAAACTAGACCTGTTTTTATCGACAAAAAAGAGGTCAAAAAATTTTTGAGAATTTTTTTAAATTTTTTATAGAATTTTTTTTCTTCCAATTACTTATCGTAAAGAAAACGTAATAACTTTTAAACTAAGTGGTAGATCCTGATAAAATAAAAACAGTAATAATGCTAAATAACAGGCGATACTAAAAAAATAAAAAAACTACACAAAAAAGGCCAAAAAATAATAAAAAATGATACTTTTTGAAAAAAAACTGCTTAAAAATTCGTGTTTTTTTGGTTATTTGATAAATTTCTCCAAAAAATGCCCCTATAACCGGTAGTTTTTATTATTTTTTATTGTTCTCTACCGTATTATCTTTGTAAAACCAAAAATAGCATGTCTCTATCCCTATCACAACATTTGCTATGATCGTTTGAACAAAGGCCTGCCACAACATTATTCTCCGCTACAGGTAGAGACAATTTTAATTTTAACTAAAATGCTTATTTTACTTCGAAATCTTTTGTTTTTATTTGAAATCTAACTTGTCTTTATCAAAATTACAAATCTAGAGCCATTTTCAGTTTTGTTGTTAACGAAGCGTTGAATGGCACGCCCGGAGAGGCTTAGTTCAAACGATCATTGCAAACGTTGTGATAGGGATAGAGACATGCGATTTTTGGTTTTACGAAGGTAATACGATAGAGAATAATACAAAGTAATAAAAACCACCGGTTATAGGGGCATTTTTTAGAGAAATTTATCAAATAACAAAAAAAACACGAATTTTTAAGCAGTTTTTTTTTCAAAAAGTATCATTTTTTATTATTTGTTGGCCTTTTTTGTGTATTTTATGTATTTTTTTAGTATTGCCTGTTATTTAGCATTATTACTGTTTTTATTTTATCAGGATATACCGCTTAGTTTAAAAGTTATTACGTTTTCTTTACAATAAGTAATTGCAAGAAAAAAAATTCTATAAAAAATTTAAAAAAAATCTCAAAAAATTTTTGACCTCTTTTTTGTCGATAAAAATAGATCTAGTTTCATCTATTTTCATATGTACACTTTAACGTGACTCACACTGTATTATAGTTAGTTATAACAGATTAATTCGGTTATAAACTCTAGAAAAGACAACTCAAAGTATGATGCTTCAACTTCTCGCCAAGAACCTTGATGTTTCAATTCAATAAAAAGTCATGGTTGTCCTACTGGTACATGTAAAGTCGAAGTCAGATCGTAAAGTAAAATTAAATTTTCCGTGAAATAGGCTGAAATTGATTACCTTACAATTACAATACAGAAAGGTAGAGAAGGATCGCTTTAAAATATACGTCTTTTGTAGAGCCATTCATCATCATCATCTCAGCCATTGGATAGGACGTCCACTGCTGAACATACCTAGGCCTCCCCCAATGCTTTCCATGTTACCCGGTTGGTAGCGGCTTGCGTCCAGCGCCTTCCTGCTACCTTTATTATGTCGTCGGTCCACCTTGTGGGCGGCCTCCACGGCCTTGCTGCCCCTTCGGCCGTCAGTTCTGCGTACTATGTGCCCTGCCCATTGCCTCTTCAGCTAGCTAATCCGTCGAGCTATGTCAGACCTGGACCTACCTACTGAAATTACCTATGCTATGATGGCAATTACTCGCTCAACTCGATAACATTGTTACGAGTGCTGGACTGATAACAGAACAGTGTGTAACTACAGTTAGAACCAACACGTAGGAGCCCTTGAAAACTGTGAAGTAATAGCACCTTTAACTAAGGGTGCACTTTGAAGTAAGAATTAGGTAATTTCAAATTTTTCCTACCTACTGAAGGTTCGATCAAAATAACGCGATCAGCCGGCGTGCAGCGATGGCGATCAGACTTAAAATGCATTGATCGCCATCGCTGCACCCCGGCTGAATCCGTGTGATCGCGTTGGTTTGGCTGAACCTTGATTTCTTCTACTGATCGCCATCGCCCACGCGGGCTGCACGGGTTGGTTTGGCCGAGCCTTAGAGGATACTGGCTGCAATTTTTCTCCTTTGAGAATTCTTTGTTTGTGTCAATTCTATATGGTCACGTAAACGTATAAATTTAAGGGTTTGTTATCATTTAATTACCCATGAAATGTTTTTCAAAGTCTTTGTATTGCACGTATTGTTCTTCATTTTCTTATTTAAATTATTTTGTAGCGGAGCCGCTATTAAGATTCTTTGCCTTTTTTGTGTAATCACCCACCACAAGTGGTTTGAATGAATTACTTAGTCCGTCACTAAAAAAAGTGATTGCCTACCTAAAACTTATTTATTTTTTGCAAGTCCATATTACCTCAACTTCGTACTCTTATTTCCTCTGATTAATTTCGTTGCGGGTCCAATGACAGTTTCTTTCCCCGGGACAAACTTGACCGTCACTGGTTGGGTTAATGGCGGTCAAGCTGTAGATCCTGGCTACACAGGAGTTGCAGCCAGCGGTGGAAACGTGAGGTTCCCACCTCCCGTAGTTCTGTAAGTTCCACTTGCTCCTGTATCGTTTACAACACACCAACCTTAAAAATATATTTAACTTTATGAGGGTAGTTTAATGCTTTTAGACCCACAAAGTAGTTAACAAACGATTAACACGTTCGCATTGTACAAGTACCAGAACAATGGGTTTTAAATCCATTCTCATCACATTCCGAGGCGTGTCGACTTTACTATGTATTTACAAATCACTCTATCTGTGGTGATGCACCTTTTGTCCGTCTGTTTGGTAAACAAAACCTCCACTTTAGTAAGTAAGTATCACATTTGAATCAGTCTCAGAAAAACGACTGAAGTGTGTGCTGGTTTGGTTTTTATCTTAAATAGTTAGTATCGTTTTTTAAGATTAAAACAGAAAGTTTAGCAAACATTTTTTTTAGGGAATAGTTAGTTTGTGGGAATAGGAAGTCCAATACAAAATTGTGGTCTTGAAAAATTCGTTCAGTCTTAAAAAAAGACTTCCAAAATTTTTGTTTGCAAGGCAAGCATCAAAATACTATTTATATTATTTATTGGTTTTTGGGCTTTCATTTGCGCCAGCTCGACCAGGTTTGATCTATTGTGGAAGCCCTTGTGTTTAGAGTTCACTGCTTAGTCCCGTTGAGTCTAAATCAGTCTAAATCAAAATACTACGTATGTGTTTGTAATACCTACTTAATTAGGTCTATTCCACTTTGATCACCTGGATTTGGCATCCTTTGATCACCTATGGATAAGATTACCTAGATTTAAGTGGCCTTCTTATTCATGGGTGATCAAAATACACCATAGTGTTTAGTGTTGCCAGGAGTCCACTTTGATCACCTGGGTGATCAAATCCAGGTGATTAAAGTGGAAAATGTGGAATAGATCCCTAATTGAGGTAATAAGCTTAATTAGGGATCTTTTTTTATAGGAAGCAAACGGCGATGCTGTGGAGATGAGTCAAGTCCATAAAGGCAACGAGAAAAATAATAATGGACAAGTAAGTTTCCATCATTTGATACTCATTCACCCATCTACACAGCTACCCAATCCATTATAGGTATGAAGAAAGTGATCAATAAATTAGGTAGGTACTAAAAGAGGACATCTTCAAAAAGAATGAAACTTCAGTCGTGAAGAGTCTTTTTAAGCCATGCCAATGCACTAGGTATATTTGCATGGCTTGAAAAAGACTCTCTTTGCATTTTTTATTCACCACGAGGAAGCTCTTGGCTTGCATCTCACCTGATGACCTGATGGAAAGTGATGATCAGGCTGAAGATGGACTTCACCCAGAATCTTCTACCATACAGAAACTGGCTCTATCTTACCTCTAACTGTCGTAACACAACAATGCTGTAAGATTGTTGTTATGGCGACAGACTTAGGTAAAATGGTGACAGGCAGACCTAGATCAAAATCCAATGTGAGTAGCATCAACTCCCAAATTTTGCCCCCACTGGGATTCGAACCTAGGTGTGAAGCAAGTGGTCACAAAGGTGATTAAAACTACCTCTAAAAAAACTATTTATATCACCAGATAGTACACGATACCCTCGACTACGAGCCCTCAGGGTGGTTGGAGACCACGATCACCAAGGTCGGGAGCACCACAGGAGGCTTCTTCCAAAGGAACGGGGACGCCATGAAGACCATATTCTGGTTCATCTTCAATGGGCTGGTCATTGGGTATTTCGCTGGATGCTGGTATTACTGGGCCAATATTTGTAAGTGTTTTTGATTCATCATCATCATCAAAAATAACATAAATCCTGGGTTGCACTATCTTAGTTTAACTTTAAAAACGTCAAAAGTCTGTCTAACTCCATACAAAATCACCGGTACTTACGCAGCCTTTTTATTAAAAACCTTAATCTATCGATGGAGAATACTGTTTTACAATTGATGGCCCATAGCCAGGGCAGAAAAGTTCTGGACCAAAGACGGAAAATATAGTGAAAATAGGTCTTCCAGTAGATTTTCTGAAGGTTGCGAGAATCGTCTGCATATGGGCAGTTCTCTGCTTGAAGCATGTTTTGTTTTATTTACTATAATATGTGTGTGTGAAAAATCTTGGACTCGTCATTGATAGCACTCTGAGTTGGTCTCAGCATGTCAAGGAAACCAGCAGAAAGGTGATTGGTACACTGCGGGCACTGTACCGCTTCAAAAACTTTCTACCCTCCAGCACAAAGACCTTGCTTGTGCGGTCCCTGATCCTGCCTATCATTGATTATGGTGACATATGTTGTACGGACATCTCACAGGAACTTCTGAACAAGTTGGACCGCCTCCTGAACAACTGCATCAGATTTATTTTCGGCCTCCGCAAGTTTGACCATATCTCGTCTTTTCGCTCACAGCTTGGATGGCTTCCCATTAGACAGCGTAGAAACATTCGTTCTCTCTGTATGCTTCACTCAATTCTCTTCAATCCTGACTCTCCACCTTATCTAAAAGAGAGGCTCCAGTACCTTCATTCTACTCACAACAGAAATCTTCGCTCTAGTCAGACTCTTCAGCTTGTCACCCCTCGCCACACCTCCGGCTTCATGTCTGACTCCTTCTCAGTCTCAGCAGTACGGCTCTGGAACGGCCTTCCGGCGAATTTGCGAAAAGCAACCTCCAAATTTACATTTAAAAAGGCTCTGCGCAATTATTTTAAAGACTAAAACTTTTTTCTTATCTCTGACATGTGTTTTGTGTACGCCAATATTATTATTATGTTTATGTATTTAGATGTATGTCTATTATATTAATATGTATTCTTATGTTATTTATTTTATCTAATGCTATGTAAGTATATTAATTAAACGTCATATTTATTGCACCGCCTTAGTCTCTCTACTCGACCTGTGGTTGACTGGCAGATAATGCCACCTGGCATTAAGTCCGCCACTGTACAATTGTATGTGCAAAAAGTGTAAATAAATAAAAATAAATAAATAATAAACAATCATATCCAATTTGGATCCATGAGCTCCGTAAGCCTAAGCACAAGCATCAATTTAATCAAATAGTTACTTCTCATGAAAATTACTATTTAAAAAGCCTTTTCTTTTCCTTTTCTCCTAACGATTATTTCTATTACAGCAAAAGAACCACTAGTACTGTGCAGCGGTTTCGGCAGCCTGATCGCGTTTCTGGGCATCATTTACTTCTTCGTCATCTACTTCATGGTGGTGAAGAGGTTCCTCGGCAAATGGTTCGAGAGGGTCGTGTGGACGAAGGTCAGCGAGTTCATAGGATACCTTTGGAAGATTACGTGAGTTTATGACATCTTCATCATCAGCTTAGGTCAGTCTGTGGGTTGAATGAAGTTAGCTGAAGACATAGGCCTTTTTTGACAATGAAAAATGCAATTAATTGCATATCTATCCTACGGGGATACCTATACCCTGGTTATGTGGGTCTCAACAAGTCAGAAGGACGAGGATACTCACAAAAGGATACCCCAGTGCTCCGTCACTCGCCATAAGTGGGCGATGAACTGTGGGAATTTGGACCAAGCTTTTATTTATTTATTGTAGGTATTGGAAGCTCTATCCACTCGACTTCCCCTAGATGTCGTTCGTAATCGTAAGAGATAAAAGGCTAAGGGATCAATATAATAAGTACCTAAACAATAGGCCTTTCCAACCTATCTGGCCAGCATACGGAGTGTACTTGTCCAAATTCTCAATTATTTGTCTCACTCATTTGAGAAGGCCGTCCTCACTGCAGTAGAGACTTAATATTATTGGATTAGCTTCTGTAATTTTGGATGGCCTAATGGATTGACTAAAAATATTCTTCCAGCCTGTTCCGATGGGGTTTCGTCATAGCTGTGTTGGCAGCCATTGCGGTGTTCATATACTTTGACACGAAAGATGCGCCGGACCGGTTGATCTCTCTTCTAGGACTGGGCATTCTGCTGTTGTTAGGTAAGTTGGTGTTAACTAAGATGTAATAGACCATATCATTTGTAATTCGTTAGCACAAGTACTTAGAAAAATAAATTAACTTAGTAAAATAGCTAACAAATATTATAACGAAAAGCATAGTCGGTGAACTGCCGATATCGGTGAAGGTCGCGGGAAGTGCCTGGATCCTTGGGAGGCTTTTGTTAGCAATTGAAACTCGAGACAAACTTGACCTTCACTGGTTGGGTTGTTGGCGGTCAAGCTGTAGATCCTGCTACACAGGAGTTGCAGCGGTGGGAACGAGAAGATAGTTTCCATTCTCACCTCTCGTTTTGGTTGAAATGTTTTTTGATAATTTTATATTTTACTAACGGTCACTGGGAAATACCAACAAAGTAACGCTTACATGGGTACCAGGACATTCGAATAGAAGGAAACGAAGTAGCAGATGAACTCGCCAGAGATGGAGCCGATAACCCTCAAATCGGCGTAGAACCGTTCTGTGGCATCACCAAACANTTCAAATCCATAAAATCTAGCCAAATCTATCATTATTACTAACAAATACAGAAAAGGATAATAACTACTCTTATTTTTAGTTCGAAATTTTTTACTATTTTGAAAAATAAGTATGGTGCTAAAGACCAGAGCCCCGATTACGGTAACTTTTAACGTCAACAATCCAGACACGCTTCTCGATTCTGCGATACGATTGGTCAAAACAGCTGACGTACGCTGTTGAACGACCAATCGTATCACAGAATCGAGAAGCGTGTCTGGATTGTTGACGTTAAAAGTTACCGTAATCGGGGCTCAGGCTTTAGAGTCTAGCAGCTAGCAGTGGTTCCCAAACTTATTTAGTCTACTGCCCACTTGTAGAATAAATTATTTTTTAGCGCCCCCCATTTTTGTAGTCAAGTCAGAGCAAGTAAGAGTCCTCCTAGTAGATGACGCCTCCCAAGCCTCTACACAACGTCCCGATTTTTTTTCTGGGCCTCTTAACGCCTTTAAGCCTGCAGCGCCCACAAGGGGGCGTTATCGCCCACTTTGGGAAAGACTGAGCTAGACCATCTACGTTAAAGTTCAAACGAAATATTTTCAGAAAGTTTTTGAAGACAATTGGACTATAGTTTGTTGTTTCTTCACTCAATAAGGTAGGTACTTACTTAAATTTGGGTAAAACTATACAATTTTCATAAGCTTAACTAGAATAACACAGGCTTTATAAGTAAGGCTGAATTTATCTATTAGATGCGGACGAAAACGCGGCCGCGCGGGTGTAAACTTGGAGTTTCCCATAAGATCTGCGTTTTCAATTTTGCTTTGTCACAATCTTCACATCGTGTCATGGACATTCTGGCATTCAAACTGGCAATAATTTAAACTGTAGACTGTAATATCACCTTGTCCCGCACCCCCGGTTTATTTTTCGCCCGGATCCGCGACAGTGCTAATTAATCCAAGTTTGTCTTGTTGATTACTTTGACGCCAATTATAACTTGGCCCATGTGTTCCCGACGTTGATTTGTTGGATCACAACGGGATATTCTTGTGACGTCACGGGTGTAGAGCGTGTGTTTGATGACTGTTACATTGCTGGGAAACGCGGATGTTGTAAGATCAAATGAAAAGTTATGGAAATTTTAGGGAATTTAATTTTGTAAATAAATACAAAGTTTTATTGGCTTTTCGGTGACTGTAAAGAAAGACAGACAAAGAAACGTAGTTATGTGCAACTTACTTTTAAAAAGAGGTCATATCCTAAACTTCTTGACTTATTTTGGTTTGGGCTAGAAATGAAACTTTGGAAAGAAAAGTAATAAGGAAAGTTACAATTTCTATCACTTAACATGCGAATTGTACACACATACACCAAGATAAAAGTAAGAAAGAAAAACATTTATTTGTAAATAAATACGAAATGTAATAATAATAATAAATTAAATAAATAAAAAAATTAATGTAAAAAGTAAGAAGGCGTTTATTAAGTAGATGCCACAAAAAGTAATAAAAGAAACACAAGTTTAAGTGGAACAACTAACGACCTTATCACTTGGAAGTCTTAGAACAGATTTCTTCCAGAATACCCAGGCTAAAGATAATATAGCTTAAATTAAAAAGGGGTTAATGAAGAATCATCACGGGACTATTCCCACTAGAGGTGGGCGCCGATATAGAATTGGCCGGCGGCGGCGCGCCGACTTTTTGAGCTCGGCGGCGGCGGCGTCGGCGGCGTGACCTTGTTTGACCTTTGTTAATTAGGTATTTTTTCAAAAATCTGCTTTTTTAGTATCTGTCGTCAAGATTAATCAGGTGATTTGCAGTTGGTTGGGGTTTGAGCCACTAGAGCAGTGGCTTACCCTAGTAAATTAGCTCTCTTGATCATAGATACTTTGATATTTGGATAGCGGGTTTGGCTGAGATCAGGTTCTCGTGTATTTCCTAAAGGCGAGCGTACCAATATGCCGATAAAAGTACCCTTCACATGTATTTTTGAGCTCTTTGGAGACACATAGTTAATGTTGGATGACTGGCGGTGGAATACTACTTCAGTTCTGTTTTATTTATATTTATAGTCTTTCCATGTTATCCTACGGTCCAGGATATTAATGCAGGTACTCCAGCTCTGCAGCTAAAAAGAGAAGATTTAGTCACCGAGTTTGAATTAAAAATGTCTGTCACTGAGATAATAATCCATCAGCAGGTAGTAGAAGTGTGCTAGAAGGTACTTTTTAATTTCATAGAGTAGTCCTTTATGATAAACCCAGCGGAAGCCGCAGCGAAGGCAGACGTACAGGATTCTTTCTTTTCCAAACATTGTACTAATTATGGTTGGTATGGTTTCTGCCAAAATTTATGGTCGGGTATACTATATTACATGGGTCATACTTAGGCAAGGGAATAAACGAGCAAGAATGATCCTTTTCCATAATTTTAATAACACAAATTTCAGATTAATTGAGCTATAAGAGAATTCGTTAGGTGACTTGGCAGCCTTATGGATCATTTCCAAAGTTAAGAGACTTGCGAGGTTCTCACTCAGTGTGGTTATTGTCAAGACCATGGACTGCATGGTGATCAGATCAAATGCAAGTGCTTTACGATGGTCCATTTTTGCTATTTCTTTAGTTTAGCCATCTTAGCGTTAGTTCTTTCGTTTCAGCCGAAAGACATTCTCGCGTCGCTCGCATCCAGGCACTTCCTGCGACCTTCCCCAAATCGTCGGTCCACCTAGTGGGAGGCCTGCCCACGATACGTCTTCCGGCTCGTGGTCGCCACTCAAGAACTTTACTGCCCCATCGGCCATCAGCTCTACGAGATATGTGCCCCGCCACTGCCACTTGATTTTAGCGATTCTGTGGGCTATGTCAGTCACTTTGTCCTCCTGCGTCTTTCGTCCTCAATTAGCGTAGTAGGAATCAATCTTCTACTTTGAACTTGAGCAGGGTAAGAGGAAACATGGCGGTCAACTCCTCAGATAGTCAAGTACAAAGATGTCCAGAAGCAGCATATGAAAAGATGCAAAATGGGCCCTCTCAAATCACAATGGAAAGGTTTGGCAGCACAGCACCTAGAATGGCGGGAGATTGTGTTGTGTAGAGGCGAGTCGAATTCGAGGAGCAGCGCACAACTGAACTCGACGCAAAACGCGATGGTGTAAATCCCGTCCATCTGCCGCCATTCACTATAATAATGTTGGCGGCGGGTAATATCTCTCAATGTGCGAGAAGTTTGCCGCGAAGATTGGCTAGGTAAGCCATATTCGGGCGCACCAGCGCCGCTAAGACAGCTAAGTCGAAGTGGTCACCATGATCGAAATCGGTCGGATGAATCATCATCATCAGCAGGAATCAAAGGCAGGCATAGCTGCAAGTCTCTGATCAAGTCCAATGCTTGATCTTATTTTTTGGATTATATTGAATGAATTGTATTATACTGAATTGTGGCTTTTTTGGATTATATTATCCGTGTCAATGGGTTTAAATAAACCGGTTTGTCATGTAGCAAAGGTCTGAGATTTTTCTTGTCAGTTCGCACTCATGTATTATCGGACCCTAATAAGCGGAGAACACTTTGAGGGAGTTACTTTGTTGCCTTCCAGAGTTTGTGGTTCCCATTTATATTCCGAGACATATTTGCCAATCTCTGTGTGAGTGATTCGCTTAAAGTATAGTCCAATAGTGTGAATTGTCTGCCAGACGAAGGCGAGGATTTTTTTCTTGACAGCAAGAGGGACCGGTACCTCTCGCGATCAATTATTTACTAGACCAAGCAGCAACTTGAATAATGTACTTGATTAACTGTTAATATAGTTAGTAATAAGTTATTCAAACAATTTATTAGTATATCAACGGCATTAACACGTTGAGTGCGAAACCAGGTCTATAGACCTTGTGTACGTCTCGCTTACCGTGCGGCTAAGAAAATTAATAGTCTTCCTTGTCGTGCGAAAGGCATAACTTCGATTGGGTCCGGTGTAGGAAAGTGATGAATATATATCTATGATGTATTCTTAAAATAGAATCCAATGATGTACCTACCTTAATACCAGGTTTTTAGACCTGGTACCGCACGGAAGTAATAAAATGTCTTCACAATGCGAAACCAGGTCGAAGCACCTTGTACCCTGCGCACCTGGTACCGCACCCCACGCTAGCTTCGTGCAGCCAGTGTTGCCTCGCATTCGTAAGAAACGCACATGTCGACATGGCGTCAAGAGAAACAAACAAAATCAAAACTGCAAATTGATTATAATTTAATTTGCTACACGATTTATTGCTAATTTAAATAATGTTTTTCGTGACAAACATTTGAAGTTGTAACTAAATGTTATTAAATAATATGTTTTCTTTAAATATAGCTTATTTAAGTATTTATGCACGTATGTCTTATTTGTAAAATATTTAGACTAAATTATTAAAACATCTTTATTTATTACTTTTTTAATTTTTTTATTAAAACTTAATTTAAACTATCGATATTTGTATTTCACATCCCTAGAATACCCACCAGACTTCCCTACTTCAGTGCGGCACAGGGTGCATAAGCCTTGTATTTTGAATATAGCTATAATTTTTATACTAAACAAGTTATTCACGAACGCCTTCAGGTGTATGTCAATAAATGCATTATTATTAATATTCAAAGAAAAAAAACACAATATCTATTAACATGAAGCCAAAAATAAAATTAATATATATTAAATATTACAAGGTCTTTAAGCCTTGTGCCGCCACAATGTAAGTTTTAATACCAGGTTTACTGACCTTGTACCGAAGGAATGGAAAGTATTAGAAAGTTACTGCCGCAGCAAAGGTGTTAAGTTCGCCTTGTGTACCAATTTATATGGCATTAAAGAATAAATATTATAGTTAGTTCTTCTGTTAGGTATATGGTTTACTGATGGGTCAAAAATGGGCCCTAACGTAGGCTTTTGCGTGTATGGAGAGCAGCCCAAGCTTAGGCTAGAAAAAATTATGCCAACCACATAATTTACATTAACTCAGACAGTCAGGCCGCGCTGATGGCCTTAAACTCCAACTTAATCACCTCAAAGTTGGTAGAAAACTGCATGAGTCGACTGAATACCCTAGGAGAACGTAACAGAGTAACGCTGAGATGGGTTCCAGGTCATGCTGGAATCGTGGCAATGAAAATGCCGACGAACTCACTAGAGCGGGAGCGGAGGGAACACAATATGGTCCAGAACCCTTTTGTGGCATTTCCAAAAGTCTCGCTCGAATGACCCTGGAGAACATCTATTTAAACAAATCCTTTAAGGCATGGTCCGACACGCACTCATTCCAAAGCTCTCATAAAAGTCTATGACCGAAAATGCTCTAAGCAGATCACAGGACTGAGTAGGATCAAAATGCGCATCTTAGTTCGAGCCCTCACTGGACACTGCAGCTCAAACAAGCACTTGTCCACTATGGGACTGTCCGAATCAAGAACGCGCAGGATGTGCCAAGAGGCAGATGAAACGCCACTACACATTCTCACGGCTGCGGACCTTTGATGCGCAAGCGGAGCTTACACTTGGGCAAACACATCCTAAGCCCACAAGATGTAAAACATATCGCCCCCCAAAAGATACTGCAATTTTATTCCTAATGGATGCAGGACTCGGAGACGAACTTTAAGGAAAATAGCGGCGATCACAATAGATCGGTACCGGTCGCAGTGATACTAGGACTTTATTAAACTAGAATAGCCGCTCAGCTCAATAAAAAAATAGTTCTCCTGCGTTCTAAACACAAATTAGTACAGTATAGGAGAGGAATAAATTGCAAATAGTTGGTACAGTATCAGTATCGGCGCGCCGACAGCTGGTCGTCGGCGGCGGCGGCGTGAAAAAATTCGCGGCGGCGGCGGCGCGCCGGCGTGGCGCCCACCTCTAAGCGCGACTGACGTTAACAGAATAGAACGCTGTGATTGGTTGCTGGTGTTCGGTTTAACGGCAATCTTGTATTATTACTCAAAATTTTAGGTACCTAAAATCGTGTGACCCACGTATTTCGCTTTCTCAATTCAAAATAATTGTAAGAAGATATTTTTTTGACTGTTGTGTGGAAAGTATATTTCATTACGATGATTTTAGTATATGCTACACACAAATTGAATGAAAATTGTGAATGCAGTAACCAAATGTTTCATTGCAACCGAAGGTGTGACACGATGAGAATGCGAAAAATGACCCCGTTTTTTATCGTTCCATGTCATTTTTTCGTATTATTTTTGCTTCTATTACGATAAAATTTATTTTGTATGTAGCTAAATAGATATTTTATCATCTGATTTCAAAGTTATTGTTCTAACTTATACCGTTTATGAACTATTATCGTGTGACCATCAAGTTTGAGTATAAATGAGAAGTACCCATAGACTCAACGGGACTAAGCAGTGAACTCTAAAAACAAGGGCTGCCACAATAGATCAAACCTGGTCGAGCTGGCGCAAATGAAGGCCCAAAACCAATAATAATAAAAAAAACGGTCACCTGTGACTTTGTCGCGTGGATCCCGTTTTACCTTCTTAGGAGTGGAGTCGTAAAATCCCGTCTTAGTGAGCACATATTACGTTCTAAAGGTAATAGTGGACGTCCTGCCTGGGGCTGAAATGATGATGATGAGTGAGTCAGTCACCTTTCGCTTTTATAGATAAAAACTAGATTTCTCCCACAGGCTTCGTGTTCTCCGCGAACCCAGGCCGCATCAACTGGCGGAGCGTGCTCATGGGACTCCTCCTGCAGTTCCTCTTCGGGGTCATATTCATTAGAGTCGACCAAGGACGGGCTGTTCTTCAGTGCTTCTCTGATAAGGTGAGTGAGAAGAGCTTGTGACTTTGTAAGTCTTTATTCGGGGGTAGGTAATCGCCGATCGCTGATGATTAAAGTATAGTTAGTAGAATTTCGTCCAATGACCCCTAGCTACCCATCCTTATCGCTCGCGCGTAATTATATTGCTGTCGCGACTGTGCGACGGGCGGCCGCAGTTAGTGTGCGAGCGCGACAGCAACTTAATTACGCGCGAGCGATAAGGATGGTTAGCTTGGGGTCATTGGACGAAATTCTACGTGCTCGGTGACGGGGTTTAGCAGTCTGCTGTGGTCCTTATTTCACGTTCACAAGCGCACAAATGAACTTATTAGTTCGCTGAAAGCCCCTGGATGTAGGTTGCTTCTAACTGGCCTTGCTGTGGCTGAAATGATGACACCCGGTAACAGAATCGTCCTTTTTTCAGGGCACTGAAAAATAAGTCCAGTTACGCCAATGTGGACGTGGTAGTTAGGTACATAGCTCATATTTTCTGCAGTTATTTATCCAATTTATGTGTTTCAGGTGGCAACATTTTTGGCGTACGGCATAGAGGGAGCTGCGTTCGCATTTGGAGACCTGCTGGTCAGGACTGAAGCCGTCTTCGCATTCAGTGTAAGTCAATTGGCACTATTACCACAGCTATTATAACATTTAATTAAAAACCTACTTCATTTAATTGGTTAGGTAATTAATGTTTTAACAATTAACGATTATTTACCTATAAAAACGAACGGAAGATTATGGAAGGTATGTTACTAAAGCCTGGTCCGTGAGCACGTAGAATTTTGTCCAATGACCCCTTAGCTACCCATCCTTATTATGTTGCTGTCGCGCTCGCACACTCACTGCGGGCGCCGTTCGCACAGTCGCGACAGCAATATAATTACGCGCGAGCATTTTTAGCACGAAATCAATCTATCTATCTACCTCCGAAACGGTACCCATTAGGCCTCAGCCTCGAACTTAGCGGGCAGCGGGGCGGCGGCGGCGGCGGCGCGGGAGCGGGGCGGGCAACGCAGACCCGTTCTCGAAACAAGCGGGCAGCTCGCGCGGCGCTTTAGCGGCGAAGTGTTGTGTTCGGGGTTGTGTTGTCGAGATATTTGTTTTTATTCGCAAACGAAATGTCTGAACAACGGCGACAATTTTATTTCGATTCAAATTTATTCCTAATGCTCGATTTATTGTGGGCAAAAGAAGGAGTGCGCTGCCCGCTCGTTGCCCGCTCCGGCGCCGCTGCCGCGCCGCTGTTTTCGAGAACCGGTCTATTTGATTTCACGCATAAGATCCTGCCGCTCCCGCGCCGCCGCCGCTCCCGCCCCGCTGCCCGCTAAGTTCGAGGCTGAGGCCTAAAAGATGCGAGCATCAGGCCTCCCCAACCCGTCTGGCCAGCGTGGGGAGTGTAGGACAAATCCTCCATTTGCCTCTGGTACATTAGAGGGTCGTGCTCCTGCAATGGAGACTATGACGGTGAAGACGACGATAACTCGAAATGTTCGTTAACTAACGATTACCTACGTACCTAACCTTTTTTGTATCTAATCATGGTGACAGGTAGCTTATTATCTTGGAGTTAATAAATGACGTTACTATATTTACAACTTATTTTGTAACGTGGTATTTCCTGCAATAAATAATTTCGGATAGATCCAGTTTATTCTGTAAGTTATTGATACCGTTTGATAGAGCTGTTAGATAGCTAAAGTTGCTGTGCCCTAACTGGGTCCACATTGTATGACTGCCTAAATTGTAAGACCTATAAATGTGAATGCTAATGTGGTTATGCAATAAAAGTATTGAGTGTTGAGTATTGAGCTTGTAGCACTTTCAGGATCAGTGACAAGTTTTTCGATGTCTTGTAACTATAGTTTAGAAATAATCGAGTGAGATCACTTATCGTTTCCACCCTGTATAGCCAGGTGAACTTAGAACAAGCCCAACCGCCAAACCCAACAGAAAAATCAGCCCTCTATGGGAATCGAGCCCAGGACCTCTGGGTTTGATGCAGATCTCTTAGATTACCAAATGACGTTTAGTGTTGCCGCTCTCTCCAACAATGGCTTCCACAGAATAACAGCGTTGTGTTCTGTCTGAGTTCCAACTCAGAGCATGACATAATGCTGAGCGGTTGCCATTTTTGGGTTCTATTCGTTGCACCAACTTACTTACTTTATCTGTCGCCCGAATTCACAAACGATGCTTGCTTAAGTGAAGCAGCAAATCGAACGCACGGCGTTGAATAGAGATCTATGATTGGTTCATGTGTGTCCACGCGCACTGTGATGATACCTCATAGTAATGTTTGTGAATACGGGCGAAAAGAAACTCAACAGAAAAATCTGCCACCACTGGGTATCGAGCTCCAGTTTTCTGAGTTTGGTGCAGGTGCGGTCTTACCACTAGACTGAAGAGGCGGTTAATATTATAAATAAACTTTTTTCCAGTCCCTGCCCGTGATATTCTTCTTCAGCATGCTGGTGGAGGTGCTGTTCTTCTGGGGCGCTCTGCAGTGGTTCGTTCTGAAGCTGGGCGAGGTTCTGCGATCTGCCACCTCCACGACTGTGTGTGAGAGCGTCATCGCGGTGGGAAACGTGTTCCTTGGCATGGTGAGTGGTCATCATCATCATCATTTCAGCCTTAGTGTTAAGGATTTAAATAAAAGAGTCCCTTTACATATGGATTAGTATATTCTTCTTAGGTTGAAGCTTTTACATGGTAAATGGAGAAACATTGAAAATAAGAGCTACGCGCTCGAGAGTTCGATCAAGATGGCCGGACGACGCCGCAGTGCTACTGTTCTTTGCTTCCTGTTTGGAGGCATTAGCGATAGTGACTGATCATCATCATTTCAGTTATATGACGTCTACCGCTGAACATAGGCCTCCCCCAATGATGTCCATTTTGTTCGGTTGGAAGCGGCCTGCATCCAGCACCTTCCTGCTACTTTTATGAGGTCGGCAGTCCACCTCGTGGATGACGTCCATTTGCTTACGAACAAGGAGCATTAATGCTGTTAACCTACTGTTCTTTCCAGACGGAATCCATCTTGCTGATCAAGCCCTACCTGTGTCTTCTCACGCCATCAGAAATGCATGTCGTCATGTCCTCAGGCTTCGCTACCGTGTCCGGCAAGTTTGTCTATTTCATTATTTTAACTAAAGTAGTAGTTAGTGATCTTTTCATCATCATCATCATTTCAGCCATAGGACGTCCACTGCTGAACATAGGCCTCCCCCAATGCCTGCGTCCAGCGCTTCCCTGCTACCTTTACGATGTCGTCGGTCCACCTTGTAGGAGGACGTCTCACGCTGCGATCTTTTTTCTTTTTTTTAGTAATATTTTATTATAAAACTCTCTATGGAGCCAATACTTCACTAAGTAAGTAGGTATAGGTACCTAAATGATTCAAGAATCCTTGATAATAATCGCGAAAAAACAAACAGAAGTAAGTGCCTATTGGGTGTTTGAAATGCCCATACCTACAATCGTAAAGCTTGTGGTAGGGTAGTTCGTTGTGTCCCTATTCTATGCAATTAGTGTTTGAATTTGCATTTGGGTGAGAATCTTGGACGAAAGGTGAGAATCCAAATTGTTCAAAAAACTTGTGCTCATGAATGCAGCACGGGAAATATCGGAATTTTGAATAGGTATTGTTTTATCGCGTTGGGTTCTCAAATTCATAAAAATATCTAAAATAACAAACATTCAGGTCTAGGTTACAATATCGTGCTTTGAAAGAAAGAAACATTATTTACTTTCGATTTCGACTAAGTTAAAGGATAAGACCGCACACCTATAATAGCAATTCTAAGCGAGCGGTGACTAGCAAACAATAGTTTATGATAATCTTTATCTATAATAATAATCTTTCATGTCGAAATAATAGTCAATGCAACGTTGTTTCTACTATTTCTTATCAAATAATAACTTTGAGTATTGCTACTGATACTGAAACCTTTACCTATTTATTTATCTTAATTATTAATCTATTGAAAATAATTATTAGCGCCTTTTGCTCGAACGGGAATTTTTGACAATCGCTGATTTACAAATGATAATGAAATAAGGAGAGTCATACACACAAATGTGCAAGTATTAAACTGTTTGTACGCACGGCGTTAACGTAATATTTGACACAATAATTTATATATTGCATAATAAATTAGGAAGTTAAGTTACAATCATCATCAGGTCATTAATTTCGTCTCCACTCCAGGAGCACGACCCTCTAATGTACCAGAGGCAAATGGAGGATTTGTCCTACACTCCCCACGCTGGCCAGACGGGTTGTGGAGGCTTGAATTTCATATTGGTCCCTATAGTCGCCTCTTAAGACTTCCAATAAAGTAATTATTAACAAAGAGAGCATAGAATAAAACCTAGTTAAGTAATTGCGTGCAACTTGTAGACAGCAGCAGCAGCAGCGAAGCAGCAGGTAAAGGCTAATAAGATGTTTAATGATTACCTATATTGATTAGTGAAAGTACAAAGAAAGAGTGCAAGGTCTTTTTAATGTTACAAGATTAGATTATAATTTTAATACTTAGCTATAAATGCCTCCACTTTCGTTTTATGACGTGTGCATTATAGATCAATAAAACGGATCGATTAAATTGTAGATTGCAATTAAAGTTAATAATGCTTGATAAAACCGGTTTGGGAAAGGTCGATGGTTTGGCTCCATGATATCAATTTGAAGTTAGTGTTCCTAGTTTAGGATCCCTACACACACACCACTCTCAGGCTTATTCCACTATTTTGTTATATTAGGATTTTATTTTAAACGTAATGGGGATTAATGAACTTTTTAGTTCATTATTTCCCATTATAAGTTCCAATTTAACGTTATCGGGGAATACTTAGTGAACAAAAAGTTCACTTATCCCCGTTGACGGGGATTGTCAACGGGGAATACTTAGTGGAATAAGCCTACTCTCAGTATTGGGATGCAAAGCTCGCGGTTTACCGGTACCGCTTCAGCGTTTACAAGTTGGCGCCACTGTTTCTTCTTCTTCTCCTTAATTTGTAAGGCTAAGGTCTGGGATATTACAGCCCACAGACCTAGCCCCACAGATATTTGTGCCTCACCCCAATGAATACGGGCGTTAGAGAACGTGCCCCGTTAACATTGAAAGTGAAATAAACGAATGATTACTTAAGAGTTTATGAATGAACAAGAACCAATATACAGTACAATTTGATCTTGCAACGATGAACAGGACCTAATTTACCAGTGGCGCCAACTCGTGTGCGCAATTATTATCGAAACATTTAATTTTTGAAACTTGTAATATCCCAGAGCGTGTGAATACATTTCCATCCTCCACAGGTACGATTCTGGCCGCGTATATCGGTTTTGGCGCGGACCCGGCGCACCTGGTGACAGCCAGCATAATGTCCGCTCCCGCTGCGGTCTGCTACTCCAAGCTGATGATGCCGGAGACTAAGCGATCGCTGACCACCGTGGACAATATACAACCAATGCGGAGGTTAGTTCCAGAAACAAAATTAGAAGACTTCAACTCACAGCAGTAGTCCTATCATCATAATCAGGTCATTTATTTTCCATTGAAGGATGACCTTTTGAGGCTTGGGAAAAATTCCACCATTAAATCCTCTCTTCCCAGAAGAAAAGGATGGATTTGGCTTATGCGAGCTTCGAATTGTCGTCTGTCGAGAAGAGAATTTTAAAGATTAGGCCCGTTAGGCCTTCGTACTAAGCTAAATATGCTTGCATCTCGAATGAGTTCACCACAATAGTCGAGCGGCGGCGGGGACCGCGTTCCCCGGATCACGAGTCGGCCAGTCCGACCCCTTCACCGTTCGGCTATCGTGACTTGTGGATTCGAATAGACCGACACTGTAGCATTGGGCTATTGAAATCACGTTCGTACGTGTTCACGCAAACCACACGCATACAGTCAGTTGCTGCTGATCTGAGTATGCAGGCAGAAAGATAAAGTCGCGAGAACAAGCACTAACTAAGTAATCTATCGTTTACAGCGAGGATCAGTCAGCCCTTTCCGCGGCCACTCGAGGGGCTACCAACGGAATAGCGCTCATCCTCAACATCATAGCCAACTTGGTAGCCTTCGTCTCGTTCGTAGCCTTCGTGAATGGAGTGCTGGGCTACGGAGGCGGACTGCTTGGGAACCCGAATCTGAATTTGGAGTGGATCTTTGGGAAGATCTTTATACCATTGAGCTGGGTTATGGGTAAGATGATTTTGTATTTTTGAGCTGGGTTTATTTGTAAAATTGGGGGTATTCCCGTTTGTCCCCTACTAGCGGACAGGGAAAAAAAGTTGCTATATCAGTTAGTGGCGAGAATGTCACTAAAATTTTCCCGTTGGCCCCTAGTGGTGGCCGTTGGGAAATAATAGGTTGCTTTTTTTTCGGCATAAAAGATTATTAGGGGATCATAGGTGAAAATAGAAACCAAAAAAAGTTAATTGGTTGTTCCCAGTTGTGCCAGTGGGGACATTCCCAGTTGTGCCAGTGGGGACAATAATGGGATTACATGATAAATCGCGGGAATTTTATCAGAATAAAAAAGTTGTAAGTGCCATGCCATCCTGGATAAGAGTAAAGGTATATTTTAATACAATTTTCAGGGGTGCCATGGGAGGAGTGTGAGCTGGTAGGCTCTCTGATCGGACTGAAGACGGTCGTCAACGAGTTCGTGGCTTACCAGAGGATGGGGGAGATGCTGAAGGCTGGGCTACTCTCGGTAAGTTAAAATAAAGGCCGAATAAAAGCCGAAGATCTTTCAACAAAATAAAATATTCTATACGGAGCATCAGAATCCGTCAGTCCGGGCTATCTCCGAAGTTTATATTAAACCGTTTAAAAAGACTGAATATCGCGTGGTTGAATGTTAGTAGGTTACCCGATGTTATGACTACGAGACAGACTTCCTTCAACTGGGGAAAAATGGGAATTTATTTATTTTTATTTCATAAAAATCACCAACATGATTACACCACAAACTAGTTATTAACAATAACATTTGGTTACATGTATTGTTTTAAATATTCGCTAATAAAGTAAATTCCGTCAAATTGCAAATTTGTACAGAGGTTAGGGTTGCATATAAACATAATTTATTACAAAACAATCCAAAATTTTAAAAATTTTACATTTAGGTGGTTATGGTAGTACCTAGTGTCGATGGGAATGAAGATGTATGTTACCCACGGCACTACTGGCTTGGCAGTGCAGAAGGGAAAAAATATTCCCCACGACACTACTGGTAGTGTGGTTTGGTAGTGCGGTGGGTCAGAAGGGCGAAAGTTTCGATGTCATGATGTCTGGATGTTTGTTACTCTTTCACGCAAAAACTACTGAACGGATTTTGTTGAAACTTTACAGTATTACTGTTCATAACCCAGATTAACATATAGGCTATAATTATGACGATCTGTGACAAACTAAATTTCACGCGGGTAAACCGCGGGCAAAAGCTAGTAATAATAACACTGGTCAACAGTGGTTTTGGTGCCAAGGAACTGTATATATTTTTTGATGAAGGACCTTATACTGGTTGCTTTAGTAGCAAATTTGTTGATTTCCTACGTGTGGTTTTCTAGATTTTGACGTGTATAGAAAAATACAAAATTTCACCAAAATCAGCGTTTATAATATTTTGAAGTGCTTAAAAACTTTCTTTTCCACGACTTTTGTGAATGAGGTGTAATGGAACTATCACGTTACATCCTCCAGCAGTAATCAGCCATCATATAGCTATCCCATCTGCCTTGGTACCTCTCTTCCAATGGTTTTTAGGTCTTGATAGCATCGCTCTCCCTGTTCTTAGCTATAGCATGCTATAGTGACCCAAGATTCTATGGGAATTGGTCAAGATGACTGTGGAGATAGTGCCCTTTGATTTAAATTATTACATCCTGAGTTTTTAGGGCATGTCTCACAATTTCATAGTAGTTACTAGTCCTGTGATTTCGGAAAAAATTTTTAGTAACTTCAACGAACGAAGTCCACGTAAATCGTTCCAAACTTCCATCAAAGTTAAGAAATCAGTATCTTTTAATAATATTCTTATTTGTGGGCCATCAAAAATTTACTGCTTTAACCTTTTTTTATGCTCAAACCAGGATTTTTTTTTGTTTTTTCCTCAGTTTTTCCACTCTGAACATCATGTTATGGCTTCTTTGACCATTGAAACATTGCCTCAGTGTTCACAGCATATTATACAAACAATTTCGGGTATCCACGGCTTGAATACAACCACAATTTCCGACTTAAAGTAAGAAAAATAAGCACTTTTTATTAAAATTTTGTCTAAATTTTTGAAATTCTTAACTGTGTACACATCACAAATGTAACAAATTACATTTGGATCGTTGAGGCAACTTCTTGGCAATGCAGACATGATATTAAAATAAATTTCGTTATAAAAATATACCGATAACATTACAAACTGTGCAACCAAAGTACCGATTAAAGCTAAAATTTAAAACTGAGGGTAGATCAAAAACTACACGTAGGAAAAAAAAAAGAAAAATATTTTTATTATTACTAATACACACCTAATAATAAACTATCAACAGAATTTCGGCACCATTTTAATTTTGATTTTTTGTTGACCAGTGTAATAAATACTCTTTATTGCACACCAAAGAACATAACAGAAAGATTAGGAACACACAAGGTACCACTAGGCGGTCTTATAAATAGCTATCATAATATAATTAATCTTAATCTAATCAAATCGATAATGCATTTCTTTTGATTGGCATTGAAATTAAAATTCCAAGGCTTTGCGATTTGAGTAAGATCTAATAAAAACATTGGCTACTTATGTATTTACCTAAAAAAAAAGCTTACCAATTAATTTTGCTCCAGTTAGAAATCGAATCCAAAACCTCTAGGTCTTACCATAATCCACTAAGGCAAGCTATGTCATGGTCGACAACATTCTTGGGGCTATACATGGAAGGTCACAAGGTCACCTTTCTGACTGTGGCCGTTGTGTAGCAATTACTAATAATTTAATTTAAAAATATTTACTTCGAGTGTTCATTTATAAACAACAAGATACTAAGTTCATCCAGCATGGTAGAGATAGGACACACAGGCTTGCCAAGTATGGAGTCCCAAGATTATAAAAAAATAGTTTTAACTTTTACAGTACACTGGAAAGCAATTTGAAACCCTCATTTTAAAAAACGTGTAATCCGACTGCGTAATCCTATATGTGAATAACTTTTGGAAGCGAAATAAATACGTTTTCCAAGTTCTTTCCACTTTCAGATAAAGTTATTATTGTTTTTAGCCTCGAGCAGAGATGATAGCCACATACTCGCTCTGCGGTTTCACGAATCCAGCCTCTGCTGGCATCATGATCGGTGCCATTTCTGCTATGGCGCCAAACCAGAGGGAAACACTGTCTGGCGTGAGTAAATAATACGACTTAGTACCTACAAATACAAATTTTAATGATTGAGTACCTATTTATTATGGAAATATAATTTAAAACTAGTTTTCTATCCTTTCCCTCTACTTTCTGTAATATTATTCTAGCAGTAAAAACTGTGTAACAAGATTTATAATAAGCTTTGACATCAATAATGAATTAAGAACCCACTCTCAATAGAGTTTGTGACAGGCTGAAATTATACGCGGGAGAAGGAAGTGAGTGCCAACGACCACCCCGGTGTGGTAAGCTCGAAGGGGGCAAATGGGAATATAAATGCCACCTATTTAGTGCTAGCCACCACAGTGGCCAGCTTTATGGGGGTAGATGGGAATAAAAGAGTAGCGGAAAAAGCTAGTATCAATTAATTTGAGAAGTAGGAGGGACTCTAATGAGGATCATTTCGATTTTTAGCTGTGAATGCAGATTTATAGGGCTAAGAAATCCTTAATACACAGTCCAAAAATTTTTGTTCTACGACAAAAATTGACGAAGTTATGGCCAAATTACTAAAAAAGTTCACTGACCGCCCGGCGCGGGACCGTTGACGTCACTGTATCCGATCCGAACGCTGCCGGCGTACTGCGTGGATAGAAAATATTTTTTTCTAGCCAAACTATCAGTTTGAGAGAAAAACTTGTAATGACATATATTCATCAGAATAAAGTAAGCTATCGATAGGTAATTTTAAAAATAGAAATTGTGAAAAAAAAACGAAAAATCCATACGCTCATACGATTCAATGGAACGCAGAGACGCGATTGGGGTCTCTGCGGTGGTATATTTGGCGATTTATTCAAATAAAGTGTTCATAAGTGTTGTTAGAGTCATATCTTCTTCCAAGTAAAATATAAAAATGTATAAGTATTAATTTATTTAGGTACTTCTAACAATAAGGTATAGCTGAGGCAGATACACTCTGCCTAGGCTACAAGACATTTCTATGCAGATCATTTCGATGTACACGCAATACCTACCTGTTATTTAGTTTTTCTGAGTTAAACCTACGTACCTACCTATCTATTCGCCGTTCCCATGGGCGGACCAGCTGCTGCAGGAAAGGACAGCTGCTCCCTCCTGGAAATCTATTTAATCTTAGCCTAGAAGCTGGGTATGACTCCCCCGCCCCCCTCCTCTCCCCAGGTCCCCCAGGCCAGAAGCTGGGTAAGGCTAGCCCCTTCCCCCAGTCCATAAGCATAAGCTAGGTATGACTCCCCCTCCAGGCCAGAAACTGGGCATGACTTGCCTCTCCCCCCCTCCCACCAAGGCCAGAAGCTGGGTAAGGCTTGCCCCTCCCCTAGGCTATAAGCTGGGTATGACTTATCCGCCCACCCCAGGCCAGAAACTGGGTATTAGCATCATATCATGTATTATTATGTTCAATACAAACAATCATTAAGTTACACTCACCCCAACCGCGTCTCCGCATTGCATCGAATCCTATGAAAATGTGGTTTTTGGACATAGCGATACTTAATTTTCACAATTTTTATTTTTTAAAATTACTGGTCGATAGGTTACTTTATTATGATGAATAAATGTTATTAAAAGTTTTTTTCTAAAACTGATGGTTTAGCTGGAAAAAAGTATTTTCCATCCCAATAGTACGACGCCAGCTGCGCTCGATTCGGATATAATGACGTCTCACGGCCCTGCGTACGTTGACTTTTAGCGGCAAAAACGGCCTATGTTTATTACTTAATATCTTCGTAAGTAATGGTCCGATTTGGATAATTCAAAAAGATATATCTTTCTTATGTCTTAAAGATTAACGTGGATACTAGTTTTATTGAATTTTCTACAACAGTACTGATCCTCATTGGACTTTATTTTCAGATGGCGGTGAGAGCTTTCTTCACTGGCTGCGGAATCTGCTTCATGACCGCGTGTATAGCAGGTGTGTACTTACTTTTGAAATTATACTTGAGTTTGAGTCGAGTATTGACAGGACAAAAAGGATCTTAGTTATTTTTAATAACCCATAAGCACCTTCATTTCAAAAATGTATCCATGTGTCCCCCTAGAGGACATTGGGAATAAAATTGGCATTATCCGCTAGTGGGGGACAACACCACTGAAAATTCCCATTGGCCCCTATTGGTGGTCATTGGGAAGAAAATTGTTGCTTTGTCCCTCAGTGGTGTTTTCAATATCCACCACTACTGGTGATAAGTTCGATATTTTATAATTTATTTTATACTAAGATATTAATTTTATTAATTCTTTTTACTTACTTATTTTTCAGGATTACTCATGCCCGAAGGATCATTTGGATGACTAAAGTGATGTTAATTATTATTTAAATCTATGATAATTAATTTTATGTAAATAGACGAATTATTAAGTATTTTATGAAACTTATACAACATATCAACATGTTATACTTATTTTTGTAAATAATGTTTTTATTAAAAACAAATGTAAATATTCTATTTTTATGCATATCAGCAGTTATATTTTTTGTAAATAAATGTTTTTATTAAAAATCTTATATTTGTCAATCCTACTAATATTATAAATGCGAAAGTTTGAATTTCAATAGTAAATAACGTTAATTTGATTAGAAAAGCACTTAAGATTGGTTTTCCAACTTACAAATATTTTTAAATCTAACTTTTTGAAGGAAAAAATAATGCCAATAATATGTTTAACTAATTTTATTGTATTCAAAGTTATAACTACAACATAAAAATAAACTTAGTTTTTAAGACATACATCATGCGTTGTTTTAGAAAGTTTGCTTTGGAATTACTGACGAATGGTGTAAATAATTTTCCTTTACTCCAGTAGCATGTTATCGTCGAGTTGCAACTGCACCATCTGGTTCCCATTGACCAGAACCCCATCGCGTAGGAGGAGTTGGACGTCCATATCCGTCAGTTCCTGAGAAAATAATGATTATGAATACATTTTAAGAAGAAAAAATCCTTGATCCCTGTCATCATCCATAACATCATCATTAAAGTCAAGTCAAGAATATTTCCAAGCGTAGCAAAAGCTGAAGTTTTAAGTACAGTTATAGCATTTAACTCAGTCAGTGCCTGAGGGTGACATTGACGTGACGATATTATGATGTGATAGAGCATATAAATCTGAAATATTATGATCTAGTCTTATTGACGTTTGACGTCCTATGCCAAACTGTATAAGCTGCCAAAGCATACAGAAGTATACTTGCAATAAACAAAAAAATGTTATGAAAGTTTCAGAAAAGCACTGAAGCAAACCGCTACCAAATAGTCAATCTGAAAATCATTAGAGGTTATCTATCATAAAAACTCAAAACTAATTTTATTTTTGCAAGTACGCTTTTAAAAAGCACTACCACTACCACTGCTTCGGGACAATAAATGGGCTAGTGCTGAGAAGAAGCAGCGCAATAAACTCACACCCGCATTCACAAACGATACTTGCTTAAGTGAAGCAGCAAATAGAATGCACAGCGTTGAATAGAGCTCTGTGATTGGTTCGTGTGTCACCCTGTGCGTCCATGCGCACTGTGAGGTTTCATAGTAATGTTTGTTAATACGGGCATCCAGTCACTATTCAGCAGTGGTTTTCCTGTAGCTGAAATGATGATGATGAACTAAAAGAAACTCACCCCACCAGTAACGTTCAACGTGACCGGGAACATTTCCTGAGGGGGCGGGGGTGCATCGTCAGCCCCCCTCTGCAGGATCTTCGGCCGGCGGGGGTGCTTGGCTATACCGCGACCGCGGCGGGGGGGTTGGAAATCTATGTTAATGTAAATTATTTCAGCAAATAATATTATTAGGGATGCTTGAAATGAATGGTTTCTAGACTTCGCTCAAAAATGTGTTTAGTAGACTCTTCTGCAAGTGAGAAGGAAGGAAGAAATTAAAAAATATTTGTAATAGGAAGGAAGAAATTAAAAAATATTTGCGGTGAATTTTTAAGGGGGCCGCTGGGAAAATAAAGTCTCATCTGCCACCATTTTAGTTAATATTTGTAACAAAGGGAAACGGTGTTTCATCATACATTTCAAAATTACAAAATAATATAAATTGGGCAAAAAATAATTCCCACTATGTCGTAAGTGGGGAAATATGGAAATTGACTTGCCCAGAAAATAACAAAAAGCGATTTCAATAGTTTTGACGTCATTATTCACCGAATAAAATTTAATTAACCAAAATGTTTTTCCAAGAGCAAAAGATAATGTTTTAAAAGAATACTTAAAAGTATTTAATTGGTATTCCTAAATGGTGCCCACAACCCAGTCAGCAGTAGTCAATACTGAAAGTAACCAAGTCTATTACCTGAATCATCAATGACAGGTTTGCTGTAAGTGACCTGTGTACGCGGAACGCTTCCTAGCATAGACAACGCTCGCGCGCAGTTTGGGATTATGCTTGACGTGCCCTGAAAGTGGAAACGTGCCTTATGCACCGTCTAATAGGTGTTATTTTGCAATGAGAATGTGTAGGGTGATGTGGTATTTAGTACATAATAAGTTCTTCTTCTTCTGTCAAACCTACACAGTGTCAGTCCAAAACTCTGCTACAAGAGTGGCGTTGTCAGCAGCATTCATTAAATCCTCCTGCGTGCAGTTGCTCGGGCACTCAGGGCACGACATCATGTGCTTAATCGACTGGACAACAAAACCTATACCTTAATAAGCAAGTTAAATACATACCTTTGCGAAAGACATTTTAGTGATCTCAATGACTTTTGTATGCGAGATATTGTTCGCGTTTAGATACTCCATCACTTCGTCCGAAGTCGGGTTGAGACCACGAATCTATTTGGAAAAATAAATCAGTTGCGAATTAATAGGTCAGTGAAGTACTTATGTACCTACCTATATCTACTAACAGTTGACCTGTGGCGAGTAAAATGACCTTGGGTCCTAGATAAGTGCCACTTTTTGATCACTCCGAAAATCATATCCCTTTACGGAACGACGTCGTCGTCGTCGTCGTTTCAGCTGAAAGACCTCCACGGCTGGACATAGGCCTCCCCCAAGGATTTTCACAAAGACCGGTGCTGCGCCGCCTGCATTCAGGCACCTCCCGTGACCTTCACCACTTCGTCGGTCCACCTAGTAGGAGGCCCACGGAGCTAAGTAACTGGCTGGATGGCCTTAAGAAATTACACTTGTCTCGTCTATCATCTCTTAGTTGTTGTGGTTATTGAACAAATAAGTCAACTTTTAAAGCTATACTCACTTCAATAACAGCCAAGTGAGCAGGATGCTTCAGCCGTGCATGCGTGCGTAAATCGGACCGTATACGGAACCTCTTGGGACATCTTTCACAAGCCCATGCTCGTACACCCGTGTGGATGAGACGGTGGTTACGCATCGCTGTTAATCTAGAAATAATTTTCGAGTTAAAACGTAACAAATGGGAAATAAATAAATAAATATCCTTGGACATTTTACACTGCGCTTCTAGTCCCAAACTAAGCAAAGCTTGTACTGTGGGTACTAGATAACGGATATAAACAACATACTTAAATACTTTTTTTTTTGTAAATACATACTTATTATACATAGAAAACACCCAGTCTATTACAAACAAGTATGTTCATGCACACAAATATTTTTACTGTGCGGGAATCGAACCCGCTACCTCCGGAATATTAGTCTGTTTCGAACCACTACACCAAACGGCCGACTAAAGTACTTCGAGTTTTCCGGAGTCCAGTTGTCGGGGGACCATTTGTCAAGGATTAAGTTGTAGGTATAGAGTTGTCGGGGCCGAGTTATAATAACAAATCAGTAATAAGAATCCAACTCACCGCCTAAAAGCCAGCCCGCAAACATCGCAAGGGAAAGGCCGCTCGCCCGTGTGCGTTCGCAGATGCTCGTCGCGCACCGACGCGCTGCGGAACGATCGGGCGCACACCGGGCACGCGTGCGCGCGCCGCCGGCACTGTGCGCTACTGATATGGTATAATGATTTATCATCATCATCAGTTTAGCCATAGATAGCATAAGATATATATATAACATAGACCTCCTTATCACCTTTATCATCATCATCAGTTTAGCCATAGATAGCATAAGATATAGATATAACATAGACCTCCTCCAATGATTTACAGGTCGCATTGCCAGGAATGAGCAGCACTGTGCGTTGCTGATATGGTATAATGATTTATCATCATCATCAGTTTCGCCAGAAAACGTCTACTGCTGTACATAGAACCTTTGTTTAACCTTTGTTTGTCACCTGTCATCCGCTTTGCAATGGAGGGAAGTCGAAACTTAATTTCGAACTCCTCCTATGTTCTTCTGATTAATTTCGTTGCGGGTCCAATGACAGTTTAACTTTCCCCCGGGACAAACTTGACCTTCATTGGTTGGGTTTTTGTGGCGGTCAAGCTGTAGATCCTGGATACACAGGAGTTGCAGTGGTGGGAACGAGAGGTGGGAATAGTCCCGTGCTGTACATAGACCTCCTCCAATGATTTACAAGTCGCATTGCCAGGAATGTGTGGTACTGTGCGCTGCTGATATGGAATAGTGAGGCTCAAACATGGATTGGACACATTAAGACGGGTTTTAGAATCGCGCTGACCGCTCGCTGATCGTCGGCGCTGACAGATCAAAATGTATGAAATTGAAGGGAACGTTCCTGAGTGACGCTGATCGCTCGGCGCCGACGCTTCATACATTTCGGCTGTCAGCGCTGACGGTCAGCGTGCGTCAGCGTGACTAAAGCTCGATTAAAAAGCTGAAATGGCAATGGGCAAGTTACATAGTACGCAGAAGTAAGATTCTGGAGTGAAGGCCATGCCCATGTACCACTATAAGGTGAACCGACAACCTCTTGGGTAGCAGGAAGGCGCTGGATCAGCTGCATGCAGGCCGCTACCAACCGGCCATCATGGAAATCATTGAGGGAGGCCTATGTTCAACAGTAGACGTGATATTATGGTCGTCGAACGTCATCATCATAACGTTTTAGTACAAAGATAACTGTGGAAAACAATGTTCAATACCCGATGATAAGGCCGTATAATATTCCAACTAGTTTTCAACTAATGCAGTTCTCTTTCTTTTAAAAAATAAGGGAATGTTTTCTTTCAGTAAAATTTTCTATCTACAGTATTAAGGGTACTTTCCCTCCAGGTGGCATTACAAAATTCCACCCTGTATAGCCTAGCATAAACCATAAACATACAATACTTACTCAACATGTTTGTGCAGATCAGAGATATGCGCGAAACTGTCTCCACACTTGGCACAAGAAGCCACTGAAGCCGTTACGGCTGTACTGGTGTGGGAACGTGTATGCGCATCCAAAGCTACGCGCGAATTGAACTGTGCACCGCACGCGCCACACCATACAGTGGCTAGAAACACAAAATACTAGCTAGTTATTCACAGATGCCCCCACTGGGGGCAAATGGGAATTCATTTATAAAAGTCTGATAGTTATTCCCATTTGCCACACTAGGGACAACTGGGAATTTACTGTCAAAGTGTCCCAGAATCCTCCACTTGTGACAATAATATTATAAAACGACTACAATTTATGGAAACCCCGCACTTAGCACAAGACGCCACTGAAGCGACGGCTGTGTGAATTAAACTGCGCACCGCACGCGCCGCACCATACTGTGGCTAGAAACACAAAATACTAGCTAGTTATTCGAAGATGCCCCCACTGGGGGCAAATGGGAATTCATTTATAAAAGTCTGCTAGTTATTCCCATTCGCCACACGAGGGACAACTGGGAATTTACAGTCAGTGTCCCAGAATCATCCACTTGTGAAATAAAACGACTACAAATTATAAAAATATCTCCGCATTTAGCGCAAAACGCCACTGAAGCGACGGCTGTGTTAGTGTGGGAACGTGTATGCGCGTCCAGAGCTACGCGCGAATTGAACTGTGCACCGCATGCGCCGCACCATACAGTGGCTAGAAAATCGTAATTACTATAAAAACTTGCCTAAATAAAACACTGGTTACTTATTAGAATAGAATAGAATAATTGTTTATTTGCATAAAACCTTTAAAAAATTACTTTTGGTACAAATAAAAATTGCAGCTTTTTCACACCGGTTATTCCCATTCGTCCCCACCGGGGGCAACTGGGAATTAGTAAAAAAATGTCTTAGTCACCTCCACAGCCACTTATGTAAAATGGTATTAGGTACAAAACGTGTCCGCTGGTTATTCCCAGTCGGCCCCGCTGGGGACATATAGGAATTTGTTAAAAAAAATTCGCCCCTTCTGGGGCCATTCCACAAATTCCATTCCTTCCCACTTGTAAAAAACATGTGCATGTGGATTGAGTGATCCTTGCTTCAATCTTAACAAAAATCGAGGAAGTTTTACTTAAAATATGTTAAAACATTGCGATGAAGTTTAAAAATTTGTTAAACCTAAGATAAAAATGTTATGGCCAATAAATAGGAGCACTCATACCGCACGCTTTAAGAAAACGTCAACATGTTTATTTCAGAAAATAAAGCCTTTCCACTTATTTTTATAGTATTGAAAAATTGTTAAGAATATGTTAAAACTATTAACAAATTCAGAAATTCCTTGCACGTCCCGTTCCAAAGTTATGACGATTATTTAGGATCACTCACACCGCACACGGGCCGTATGAGTGCTCTTCAAAATAATGACTTTTTATTAATAAATACGTTTTATTTCTGTTGGGAAATGTGTGCAAACTGACGAGCGAATTTGTTAAAGAATAAGTGTGACAAAACTTAAAAGCTGAAGGAAGAAATTAACCTTTATTCTTTCCTCCAATATGCCGTGTGAGTGATCCTTACTTTTACCTCTATCTGCTCATATNCAATTTGGATCCATGAGCTCCGTAAGCCTAAGCACAAGCATCAATTTAATCAAATAGTTACTTCTCATGAAAATTACTATTTAAAAAGCCTTTTCTTTTCCTTTTCTCCTAACGATTATTTCTATTACAGCAAAAGAACCACTAGTACTGTGCAGCGGTTTCGGCAGCCTGATCGCGTTTCTGGGCATCATTTACTTCTTCGTCATCTACTTCATGGTGGTGAAGAGGTTCCTCGGCAAATGGTTCGAGAGGGTCGTGTGGACGAAGGTCAGCGAGTTCATAGGATACCTTTGGAAGATTACGTGAGTTTATGACATCTTCATCATCAGCTTAGGTCAGTCTGTGGGTTGAATGAAGTTAGCTGAAGACATAGGCCTTTTTTGACAATGAAAAATGCAATTAATTGCATATCTATCCTACGGGGATACCTATACCCTGGTTATGTGGGTCTCAACAAGTCAGAAGGACGAGGATACTCACAAAAGGATACCCCAGTGCTCCGTCACTCGCCATAAGTGGGCGATGAACTGTGGGAATTTGGACCAAGCTTTTATTTATTTATTGTAGGTATTGGAAGCTCTATCCACTCGACTTCCCCTAGATGTCGTTCGTAATCGTAAGAGATAAAAGGCTAAGGGATCAATATAATAAGTACCTAAACAATAGGCCTTTCCAACCTATCTGGCCAGCATACGGAGTGTACTTGTCCAAATTCTCAATTATTTGTCTCACTCATTTGAGAAGGCCGTCCTCACTGCAGTAGAGACTTAATATTATTGGATTAGCTTCTGTAATTTTGGATGGCCTAATGGATTGACTAAAAATATTCTTCCAGCCTGTTCCGATGGGGTTTCGTCATAGCTGTGTTGGCAGCCATTGCGGTGTTCATATACTTTGACACGAAAGATGCGCCGGACCGGTTGATCTCTCTTCTAGGACTGGGCATTCTGCTGTTGTTAGGTAAGTTGGTGTTAACTAAGATGTAATAGACCATATCATTTGTAATTCGTTAGCACAAGTACTTAGAAAAATAAATTAACTTAGTAAAATAGCTAACAAATATTATAACGAAAAGCATAGTCGGTGAACTGCCGATATCGGTGAAGGTCGCGGGAAGTGCCTGGATCCTTGGGAGGCTTTTGTTAGCAATTGAAACTCGAGACAAACTTGACCTTCACTGGTTGGGTTGTTGGCGGTCAAGCTGTAGATCCTGCTACACAGGAGTTGCAGCGGTGGGAACGAGAAGATAGTTTCCATTCTCACCTCTCGTTTTGGTTGAAATGTTTTTTGATAATTTTATATTTTACTAACGGTCACTGGGAAATACCAACAAAGTAACGCTTACATGGGTACCAGGACATTCGAATAGAAGGAAACGAAGTAGCAGATGAACTCGCCAGAGATGGAGCCGATAACCCTCAAATCGGCGTAGAACCGTTCTGTGGCATCACCAAACAACGAGCCACCACGCTACTAACCGCCCTCTGCAAACAAGAGGCTATTGAGTGGTGGAAGTCTACATCGGGACAAAAACACTCAAAAGCACTCATTCAGGGATATAGCAACAAAGTAACTAAGGAACTGCTAAAGTTCAAAAGATACAAAGCCTGTGCAGTGACTAGAATACTAACCGGCCACTGCAAACTAAACAAACACAAATCGAACATGAACATGACCGAGGAAACTCTGTGCAGATTCTGCCATACAGAAGAAGAAACGGCCATGCATGTTCTTTGCTCATGCGGCCCGCTTATGAGCAAAAGAAGTATCCATCTTGGGCGACACATCATGCACCCGGATGAGATAGCAGATATCACGCTCCAAAGAGTCTGGAAATTTATAGGGGTATTTCTCATCGCCACGGTTCTCATCGTCACCTTCGTGGCGAATTTCATTTCTAACTTATTTCAACTATTTGTAAACAAATATTGTAGCGCTTGATGTGAAGATTGTATTCTCAGTAAATCAGTGAAATAGTGAGTCTCGTTTGGAAGCTTTAACGTTTTGAATTTTTTGATGCCACGAAAGTGATTCTGTACTTCACAGCAATATTTTTTTCAAATTTTACAACTGTATGTGACTCTTAAGTGTTTATAAAACATATATTTTGTCTTATTTTCATAGATAAATAGCAATAACATAATATAAATAGGTACCTACTTAAATACAAGATAAAATTTTACCGATTACGTCACCTACTAAGTTACAAGATTCTACGCAATTGGTTTTAAGGGTGACACTGGTGGCATTCTGAAATGCTAAAGAAGCAGAAAACGGATTATCAGTACCTCAATAAAAAAGAACTGTAACTGATTATTTATCAGTCCCTCAACAAAAATATATTTTTTATTTAGGCCAGAGGGCCTCGTATTTTTGTGTACAACTTTTAACTCAAACTTCAGATTAAATTTATCTTACAAACAGAAACACAGTCACATATACAGACATACATACAGTCATACAGACAGACAACAAAAATACGAGGCCCTTATTTATTTATTTATTGATGTACTGATCTCTACTTACCACGTATAATTTATTAGTTATTAAAATATTGTAAAAACATAAACACCAGTCACTATATTTTAAAATAAACCAAAGCAAGGAATCACTTTCGTGGCCTAAAATCACCTTCGTGTATAAAACACCACGAAGATGATGCCACGAAGGTGACGAAAATTTTAGTTTTTTATGAATTATCCNTGCACATGTAAAAAACTATATTCTTAAACGACTAAATTACTACAAAAATTATACATACTTGGTTCATTGTTGGCAGCCAGTGACGACGTCATGTCACTGTGTTCCTTCTTCCTGTGTTTATAAAGTGCAGTTTTGTTTGGCAGCACCTCATCGCAATCACGACAAGGTATCCTAAAACCAAAATATTCGAGAACTACACATTTTTAATGTACGAGTATTAACCAGGTTACTAGTTAAGATGAACTTTAACTCTGTTCCAAACTAAGGGCTCTTTCCCACAGGCACATTCCGCTTTTTGCAGGAACTGTTTTTTGCAGGATTCCGCTTAGTAGTATATTGCCCGTTTTCACCAAAAATCCCTAATTTTTAAGTGCCTCCTATGGTATAGATCGTTTCATCCACGAAGACGCGCCCCACCAATTTTTGGTCTCGGTCGCGCGGGGTGCGGGGAGTTCGATCCGAGCAATCCGTAAGGCATTATTGTAGTGTGCGTGTGCACTCATAGATGATTTAGCGTGTACCGATAGCACTCAAACATTAGCGGAGGAATGGTGGGGCGCGTCTTCGTGGATGAAACGATCTATGTACAAGATAGGTAAGAGGTATCACACACCTGTAATCTTCTCTTGGGATTTTGGTGGTAGAATTGGCATCACCTTGTCCCGTTTGACCGTGAATTTTCTTCCTGTGGTACGCCAGACTCCAACTGTTTCAAAAATAAAAACCTATTGACTTTTTTGTGATTTGAGTTTCTTGCGCTTCTTCATAGAACTGGAAGGGACTATTCCCACCTCTCGTTCCCACCGCTGCAACTCCTGTGTAGCCAGGATCTACAGCTTGAACTCCAATAACCCAACCAATGAAGGCCAAGTTTGTCCCGGGGGAAAGTTAAACTGTCATAGAAACCATCGTATCACAGTATACGACGACATAGTACGAGATCGAATCAGAAATGAGGAGATCCGTAAACTAAAGTCGCTGACATAGCCCGACGGATTAGCAAGCTGAAGTGGCAATGGGCAGGGCACATAGCACGCAAAACTAACGGCCGATGGGGCAGCAAGATTGGGAAGATGGGGAAGGACCGGAAAACGCAGCGTGAGACGTCCACACACAAGATGGACCGACGACATCGTAAAGGTAGCAGGAAGGCGCTGGACGCAGGCCGCTACTAACCGGGCAATATTGAAAGCATCGGGGAAGGCCTATGCAGCACGTCCAATGGTGAGATGATGATGATGATGATGACCATAGTATATTTATTTTATTACCTGTTAGGAAAGGTCAGATCGCAGTGGTTACATTTATACAAGAAGTCGTTGGCGTGTTTCATCCTCCTGTGTACTTGTAGATACGTCCAATGCAGGTAGGACCGACCGCAATCCTGAAGAGAAAAAGTATATTTTATATTCACGAGGAAAACTCTTGGCCTCACCTGATGGAAAGTGATGATAAAGCCGAAGGTGGAAGCGAATTTAAGGAGAATCAAAGCAGATATAGCCTGCAGATTTTTTTTATGAAGGACCAGGCAGGTATTTGTCCGCAATCGCACCTGCAAACTTTTTGCATTTCCAAACTTAAGAGGCAGTGAGCGGGGCATATAGCTCGTAAAAGTTAGATATAACCGTTTGGGCAGAAAAGTTCTGAGTGGCAACGACGGACTGTCTGGCCAGTGTCGGCAGTGTAGGCTAAACCCTCCATTGTCTCTGGTAAATTAGAGAAGGTCGTGCTCCTGCAGTGAAGACTAAATGACATTATGATTTATGATGATACCTCGCAGAGAGACCTCTTTGGAAATCCTCCAGATATGGAGGATGGATACATCGCAGAATTTATCACTTCGACTTTTTCTTAGCTTCAGCTAGAATACACTATTACTTATTCTAAATGTTGTCCTTTTGACGTGGCACCAAATCCTCTATTTGCCTGTGGTAAATTAGACGATCGTGCTCCTGTAGTGAAGACCAAAGCCCGGTTTCCACCAAAGGGAAGTAACCAGATTCAGATTTCCGAACCAAAGCTGAGCGGAGAAAGGATGTGGAAATACATGACATCTCCTCTCTGCTTTTTTGGAAACCCAGCCTAAATGACCTGATGATGGTACCTCACAAAGGAAGTGCTTGACGACTGGAAACCCTCCATATCCCAGTATACCGGTGGCTGAAGGGCCTGCTTCTGGCTCGCTGGGCTTGGAAGCGTTCTTCTTGGCTTCAGCTAGGGAACGCTTGTAGAAACCGTGGGTAGTTTTGTGGGTTGTGCATCTGTTGGGGAGATACCCTTTGAAAATACTTGATAATTATTTTCTAGTAGACCAGCAAGATTTTTTTTTGCAAGACGTAGATGCCATCGAAACGGGCACGCTAAACAGAATACATAGTTGATGCAAAATGTCACATAAGCAGGTTATCACTGATTTTGTCATTTCTTATGCTGCCTTAAGGCGATTAGAGTCCTCAATGACCTTGAGCGTTTGACCTTCACGCTTCGCACAACACCCGCGCACCCCGCACGAAAACTCCGATTTGACACCGATCAAAATTACACGGGCATAGGTAGGTACAGAATAGAAGCTCTTTCTTCATACATTACTGCCTATTATTTTAAACTTGAATTGATGAACCTTGATGTCGATGTCATTCAACACAGGCGCAAGTGATGGCCCGAAATGTTCTAAACTAGCGCACCGTATAGTAAGGTATTTATATTTAACAAAAATTACAAATCCATGAACATTTTGTATGGGATAATATTTCTTATTTTATTTTATTTAGCTCACAATGTATGTTGTGTGTAAACTATGAATTAGTTAGACCCATTTCCTGACGACAATCGATTGAGTTAAAATTTCGGATACACATGCAATTCGGATGACAATGCAATATTATGATGACATGGAACTGATCTGATGATACAGCTGGAAAGTCAGTGACCCCATAGGAACTCCGGAATAAAACGACTCCATCGAGTTGAAACTCGTTTGATTTGTATTTATTTATTTACATTAGGGTACTAATTATGTAAAGTTACGGTAAACTACTTTACAAATCACGAGTACCTACTTCAATTCTATATGTAAACAGGGTCTGATGATGGAGCTGGAATGTGGCCATAAGAATTGTTCGAATTATTACGAGCTACATTAGAGAAAAACGATGCTACTACGCCGTAGTAAATTCCGCATCATAAATACTAAAATGCTTAAATTAAAATTAAAAGAAAAACATTCTTTAAAAAACAAGGTTTTGTATGCTCTAAAAAGAATAGAATAAAAAATAAAGATTCTATCATTACTCAATTTATATGACTAAAAGCTCGTCGCGAGATTTACTTGTGTAAACAAAAATACATTCATAACGTAACTTAATTTTAAAGTAAATCTAAAAAAAACACGGATAGGTAAATAATAGGTACATCTACAAGAACTTACCTAAATCTCGTAACAAGCTTTTAGTCAGATAAATTGCGTAAGGACAGAATCTAGGTATATAATAGAAAAAGACACGTTCCAAATTAGTGAAGGAATGTTAGATAGATACTTATCACTGCATTCATTTTCAAAGCTCTCATGGCCGCATATTTCATCGAACCATTTTTTCGAGGCATTTTCATAAACTCAATCAGATGTCGTTATTTATTCATTTTGATCGCTAATGTCAGTTTGCAGCGAGTAACACAACCTCCCCGTCTGAAGGCCAGCGGCCGACTGCCGCCCGCACCCCGCGAAGGCCCCCTCAACAGCAAAACGTTCGGAATTTATCAAAAGTAAAATTTATGAATGAAAGTTATGTTCGATTGAAAAACGCAACGTGTCATTTAAAGATTAAAGAATTCTTAATCTATTCGTGCAAAAATCTTTAAAATTAACATAGCCGTTTGGGAGGAGTAGGGAATTGAAGTAAAAAATCGATGTCCCGTATTTATTTTTGTAATCCACAACAAAGAGACGTAGGAAAAATTCAAACGTGTCAAATGTAGTCCTTGAACTGTTGTATAACATATATTTTTTTCAACTATTTCTGTCCAGCAGTAAAAGAGGAGTAGGCTTTACAAAATGACCATTTCACGCGGATTGAGGACACTAATCGCCTTAAGTACAAAATGTCTTGGAATAAAGAGGGAACAGTGACAGTGTGATGACTGATGAGAAATCAAATTAACAATTTTCTTTCATGAGTTGTCCAACAATGGTAAAGCGAAATTTAGGTACACCACACCGAATTTTGGTATAGAGATAGATGGGGACTTATGAAAAGCTAACTTTTATCAGTGGAATGAAAATTTGAATGGGGATTTAATTCCTCTAGATTTACTTCAAAAAGGGAATAGGGCACATAAGTAGCAATAAAAAATGTTACAGACTAACCTGGAATAAGTGGCGAAGCTGACTTTGCAGATGTGGCAAACGAACGGATTCTTCACGCCCTTGTGTATCGCGCGGTGAGAGTTGAGAGCGTCTTCCAAATAAAACACGCTGTAAATACATTTTGAATCTTACTTTTGAACTTCTCAGTTCATTTCATGATCATCATTTCAGCCACAGGACGTCCACTGCTGAACATACTCGTAGGCCTCCCCCAATCAATTCATAATCATCATCTAGATGGCTGAAGTACACTTTTGGCTACAGTAGTTCAACTCTTTATTGTCATGATGATGGATTGTCGTGGTGGATGTCGTAAGAGACGACTAACGCCCGTATTCACAAACGATGCTTGCTTAAGTGAAGCAGAAAATCAAATGCTCAGCGTTGAATCGAGCTCTGTGATTGCTTCGTGTGTCACCCTGTGCATCCACGCGCACTGTGAGACCTCATAGTAATGTTAATTCAGTAAGGGACAAATTAATAAGCCAGGACGCCGGGTTGTGTTTCTGCATTGGATACTAAAACTAAATAAAAGACATGATGATCTGGGACCGCTGATGTTAATGATGATGATGATGATGATGATGACGATGATGATGATTGAGAAAGTGATTATGATCATGATTATGATTATAATTCACTATAGTCTCTACCCTAAATACAAATACTCACTCCTCGCAGTATTCACAGCGGAAAGCCTTTTCAATTTCCACAACACGCATGACGCTTCGCGCTTCGTCCGTCAGTCCAGTGAGTAGCGGCGCCGCTAGCGCGTTTGACACCTGCCGCGGGACCACGGCCGGCGGCGGAGGGGACTCTGGCGTGACATGGCAGAAAATGACAGTATAGATGACCTAACCTGAACCTACCCAATAAAATCTTTGACAAGTCCCCCTGTCACCATCACCATCACTCGCACACTCACTGCGGGCGCCCGTCGCACAGTCGCGACAGCAATATTACGCGCGAGCGAGAAGGATGGGTAGCCTGGGGTCATTGGACGAAATTCTACGTGCTCGGCGACCGGGCTTTAGACTATGTTATTTTGGAAGATTACAGTCTATTAGCAACATATTGGTCCTTCGAGCCGGATAATTAACATTGAAGATGCACCCTAAAGATACAGGACAGGTTTCGGAAACCAGCTTCTTCCTTGTTTTAGATTATGAGACGGCCACGGCCGGGGGCAGGAAATGTCATGGAACCTTTACTTCGGACTCTATGTCCTTCTGATAAACAGTTTAACTTTCCCCCGGGACCGACTTGACCTTCACTGGTTGGGTTTTTATTGGCGGTCAAGCTGTAGATCCTGGCTACATAGCAGTTGTAGCGGTGGGAACGAGAGGTGGGAATATACCCGTTAGCAAAGATATGAAACACTGGACTCACCTATAACTTTAACAAGCCCACTGGTGGGTGAAAGTTGGGCGGTCGCTTCATCTGCTTCCTGCTTCAGCTCTTTGACGAACCCTTCCATGCACTCAGGGGAATTCGTAACATGTTCCTGAAGGAAGAAAACACAAATAATTATGTATTAGAACTACCTATCTCCAGACAGATATGGGCTACCTTTTTTTATATTTTGACGTTCATAAGTGCAACCAGGGGTCTAAATTGAATAAAATATTTTTGATTTTGATTTGATATCTATCGCCTACTTGAGGTCCCCCTGGCTTGTTATCACCTACCTGCGCGTCCCCCTTAAAGTGAGGGCTTTTATAGTGAGCTATTTAATCTACTGTATTAGTATCTCCTTTTTCTTTAGCGCCATCGTGACTGAAAGAGGACGTCACCAACCTTAACACCATCTTTGTCTTTGATTGAAGACGCCCCTGCACTTAGCATGACATCTTCTCGCTGCTGTCACATCTTCTTATTTCCGTCAGCAGCATCTCTCAAAATGTCACTTCCTGGTCCTGACTAGGAGATCAGCAAGTCAGACCTATCTGAGCATCTTCTTCTAAAACCAGCTATAGAGCGACCTTACTAAATATCACATCTTCTGGCTGCCGTTTCTACTTAAGAATCTTGATGCTATCGAGGGGATACCTACTGCATGGTCAGTAGCGGCGTAAGGGGGGGGCGGTGGGGGCGGTCCGCCCCGGGTGTCAAGTATCAGGGAGTGACACAAGTCGCGCAGATTAGTACTCACTGGCGCATCTCATGGCAAGTCTACGGTCTATGTCATGATACGAGGGTGTGCGATTGTCTTTTAATCTTTCAATCGGTAGGTAACCCCAAAATCCTGGGGGTATGTACCAGGGGGTGCCTTAGGACTTATGACGGGGGGNGTCTACGGTCTATGTCATGATACGAGGGTGTGCGATTGTCTTTTAATCTTTCAATCGGTAGGTAACCCCAAAATCCTGGGGGTATGTACCAGGGGGTGCCTTAGGACTTATGACGGGGGGTGGGGGGGTGGGGGGGGGTGATCGCCCCGGGTGCCAACCCATGCTACGCCGCCACTGTGCATGGTATGGTATCTCCTGGCTGCTGTCTCTGCCTGTGAATGTTCTTTACAGGAAACATCAATTGGCGTCTTTACTGCAACTCCTGACTGGGGAATCTTGACTGAAGTTACACGTTCCCTGGCTAGTCCGACCTGCTTATTTCCTGGTCAGTAAGGCCCAGAACAGACGGTGAAACGAAACTGCAACTTTCTGATCAATCTGATGAATGAAACTGAAACTGAAAGTTTCAAACTGGTCGCGTCATGTGTGGTCTCTCAACGGACGCTATGGCAGAAACTTAGATGCAACTCAAAAGTAACTAGCAGTTGCAGTTGCGTTTCACCGTCTGTTCTGGGCCTAAGACCTACCTGAGCGTCCGACTGTCCGCGAAAGGCACGTCGGCACGCGGCACACACCAGCACCAAGGTAGGAGTAAGCTCTTCCTCATGAGCTCGCAAATGCATGTGTAAGCGCGAGCGCCGAGTCAGCTGCTTGAGGCAAATGTGGCATTGGAACGGTTTTATGTTGATCCTCGTGACCTGTGGTAGCTCCTGGCTTGATTATTATAGCAATCATCAATTGGCATCTCTCCTGTAATGATTTTATTATCTCCTCCTGTATCTCCTCCTGTAATGGTCCTGGGCTGATATCCCTTCCGGGGGTTTCTTCTAGAGTCCGCTATAGAGCCACATCCTTACTAGGTGACACGTCATCTTCTGGCTGCATGCTATATCTTTTTATAGTCAGCTCTACTGCAATAATATCTCCTGGCTGATGTCTGTTTATAGCAAGAATCAAGGGCATTTCAACTGCAATGGTATCTCCTGGGTAATCAGACCTACCTGAGCATATTCTTTATTCTCTTTCGTCCTACCTGAGCGTCCCCCTGACGAGGCTAAGGCGCGCCGGCACGCGGCGCACATCAGCACCAAGGTAGAGGAGTAAGCTCCTCCTCGCGACCTATAGTATCTTCTTCTTATAGCAAGCAAGCATCAAGATGCACCTCTCTTGCAGCAATGGTCCTGGCTGATGTCTCTTTACAGCAAGGATCAAGTGGCATATCTACTGCAATTAAAACTCCTGGTTGCTGTCTCTACCTGTGCACCTATCTCCTGGTCAGTCAGCAGACCTGCCTATTTCCTGGTCAGTAAGACCTACCTGAGCGTCCGACTGTCCACGGAAGGCGCGCCGGCACGCGGCGCACACAAGCACTAGTGTAGGAGTGAGCTCCTCCTCATGAGCTCGTAGATGCATGCGCAAGCGCGAGCGCCGAGTCAGCTGCTTCAGGCAGATGTGGCATTGGAACGGTTTTATATTGATCCTCGTAAACTATGGTGTCTCATTGCTGATGTTTCTTTATAGCAAGCATCTATGGCACCTGTCCTGCATGGTTACTCCTTCCTAGAGGTGGGCGCCACGCCGGCGCGCCGCCGCCGCCGCGAATTTTTTCACGCCGCCGCCGCCGATGACCAGCTGTCGGCGCGCCGATACTGATACTGTACAAACTATTTGCAATTTATTCCTCTCCTATACTGTACTAATTTGTGTTTCAAACGCAGAAGAACTATTTTTTTATTGATCTGAGCGGCTATTCTAGTTCAATAAAGTCCTAGTATAACTGCGACTGGTACCTGTCTATTGTGATCACCGCTATTTTCCCTACAGTTCGCCTCCGAGTCCTGCATCCATTAGGAATTTCAGTACCTATCTTTTGGGGGGTGATATGTTTTACATCTTGTGGGCTTAGGATGTGTTTGCCCAGGTGTAAGCTCCGGTTGCACATCAAAGGTCCGCAGTCCGAGAGAATGTGTAGTGGCGTTTCATCTGCCTCTTGGCACATCCTGCACGTTCTTGATTCGGACAGTCCCATAGTGGACAAAGTGCTTGTTTAAGCTGCAGTGTCCAGTGAAGGCTCGAACTAAGATGCGCATTTTGAACCTTCTCAGTCCTATGATCTGCGTAGAGCATTTTCGGTCATAGGCTTTTATAAGAGCTTTGAAATGAGTTAATCCTGGCGTGTCTGACCATGCCTTAAAGGATTTGTTTAAATAGATGTTCTCCAGGGCCATTCGAGCGAGACTTTTTGAAATGCCACAAAAGGGTTCTGGACCATATTGTGTTCCCTCCGCTCCCGCTCTGGCCAGTTTCACGATTCCCGCGTGACCTGGAACCCATCTCAGCGTTACTCTGTTACGTTTTCCTAGGGTATTCAGTCGACTCATGCAGTTTTCTACCAACTTTGAGGTGATTAAGATGGAGTTTAAGGCCATCAGCGCGGCCTGACTGTCTGAGTTAATGTAAATTATGTGGTTAACATAATTTTTTCGCAGGTTAGCTTCCGCACACTCAATAATGGCGTAGAATTCTGCCTGAAAGATAGAGGCAAATTTACCCAGGCTTTGAGATAGCCTAAGCTTCGGCTGCTCTCCATTCACGCCAAAGCCTACGTTAGGGCCCATTTTTGACCCATCAGTAAACTAAGAACTAACTATAATATTTATTCTTTAATGCCATATAAATTGGTACACAAGGCGAACTTAATGCCGTTGATATACTAATAAATTGATTGAATAACTTAATACTAACTATATTAACAGTTAATCAAGTACATTATTCAAGTTACTGCTTGGTCTAGTAAATAATTGATCGCGAGAGGCGCCGGTCCCTCTTGATGTCAAGAAAAAAATCCCCGCCTTCGTCTGGCAGATAACCCACACTATTGGACTATACTTTAAGCGAATCACTCACACAGAGATTGGCAAATATGTCTCGGAATGCAAATGGGAACCACAACCTCTGGAAGGCAACAAAGTACCTACCTCCCTCCGTGTTCTCCGCTTATTAGGTCCGGTAATACAAGAGTGCGAACTGACAAGAAAAATCTCAGACTTTTGCTACACGACAAGCCGGTTTATTTAAACCCATTGACACGGATAATCCCTTACTACCCTATCCCTTAATAACCTTCCCATTGTGATTTGAGAGGGCTCATTTTGGATCTTTTCGTATGCTGCTTCTGGACATCTTTGTACTTGACTATCTGAGGACCGCCATGTTTCCGCTTACCTTCCACAAGTTCAAAGTAGAAGATTGATTCCTACTACGCTAATTGAGGATGAAAGACGCAGGAGGACAAAGTGACTGACATAGCCCACAGAATCGCTAAAATCAAGTGGCAGTGGGCGGGGCACATAATTATCTCGTAGAGCTGATGGCCGCTGGGGCAGTAAAGTTGTTGAGTGGCGACCACGAGCCGGAAGACGTAGCGTGGGCAGGCCTCCCACTAGGTGGACCGACGATTTGGGGAAGGTCGCAAGAAGTGCCTGGATGCGAGCGGCGCAGGACGTCTTTCGGCTGAAACGAAAGAACTAACGCTAAGAGTGATGACTAAGCTAAAGAAATAGCCAAAATGCACTTGCATTTGATCTGATCACCATGAAGTCCATGGTCTTGACAATGACCACACTGAGTGAGAAGAACCTCGCAAGTCTTTTAACTTTGGAAATGATCCATAAGGCTGGCAAGTTGCCTAACGAATTCTCTTATCGCTCAATTAATCTGACATTTGTACTGTTAAAATTATGGAAAAGGATTATTCTTGCTCGTTTATTCCCTTGCCTAAATATGACCCATGTAATATAGTATACCCGACCATAAATTTTGGCAGAAACCATACCAACTGAAAATCAGTAGTAGTACTGTGTATCAGTACAATGTTTGAAAAAGAAAGAATCCTGTACGTCTGCTTTCGCTGCGGCTTCAGCTGGGTTTATCACAAAGGACTACTCTATGAAATTAAAAAGTACCTTCTAGCACACTTCTACTACTATGGACTCTTATCTCAGTGACAGACAGATTTAAATCAAACTCGGTGACAAAATCTTCTCTTTTTAGCTGCAGAGCTGGAGTACACCAGGACTCTGTACTTGGACCGATACTCTATAACATCTACTAGTAAAGTAGCCCAGACACCAGAAAGCTGCGGCATTCCTCAAATGTAACTGTGATCTTAAAGTGACTAGACTGTTGCAAAGTCAGCTGCTTGGCTGACCAAGTGGCGCATGTAATTAAGCCCCGAAGTCTCACCATATTATCATTTAAGACGTGAAACTTATCCTCCGGCCAATCTAGACCTCGATACATTGCTGCAATCAACCTGCATTAAAATCCTGGACCGTAGGATGACATGGAAAGATCATAAATATAAATAAAACAGAACTGAATATAATATTTTACCGACAATCAGCTAATCCAACATTAACTATGTGCCTCCAAAGAGCTCAAAAATACATGTTAAGGGTACTTTTATCGGCACATTGGTACGCTCGCCTTTAGGAAATACACGAGAACCTTATCTTAGCCAAACCCGCTATCCAAATATCAAAGTACCTATCTATGATCAAGAGAGCTAATTTACTAGGGTAAACCACTGCTCTAGTGGCTCAAACCCCAACCAACTGCAAATCACCTGATTAGTCTTGACGACAGATACTAAAAAACCCGGATTTAAAAAAATACCTAATGAACAAAGGTCAAACAAGGTCACGCCGCCGACGCCGCCGCCGCCGGGGTCAAAAAGTCGGCGCGCCGCCGCCGACCAATTTTATATCGGCGCCCACCTCTACTCCTTCCCAGTCAGACCTACCTGAGCATCTTCTTCTAGAACCAGCTATAGAGCGACCTTACTAAATATCACATCTTCTGGCTGCCGTTTCTACTTAAGAATCTTGCAGCTATCGAGGGGTATACCTACTGCATGGTATGGTATCTCCTGGCTGCTGTCTTTGCCTGTGAATCGTCTTTACTGAAAACATCAAGTGGCGTCTCTACTGCAACTCC